ATCATCCACTTTTCTTTTCTTCTTTACTGGAGGCCATAAGGTTTTTATGATATTTATTTGACCAACTTTGACAGAGAGTGGTTTAGTACTCCGATGTGGGACACCCAGAGGTGTTGAGGTGTTCTTCCATGTCACCCCTACAGTGGGAGGTGTGGAGGTGTTTTCAGATGTCACACCTACAGTGGGAGGTGTGGAGGTGTTTTCAGATGTCACACCTACAGTGGGAGGTGTGGAGGTGTTTTCAGATGTCACACCTACAGTGGGAGGTGTGGAGGTGTTTTCAGATGTCACACCTACAGTGGGAGGTGTGGAGGTGTTTTCAGATGTCACACCTACAGTGGGAGGTGTAGAGGTATTTTCAGATGTCACACATACAGTGGGAGGTGTAGAGGTGTTCTCAATTGGCTTTTGTACAGAGGCAGGTGTGGACACATAAGGCTCTATGCACAAATCACTGGCAGAGTACGGACAACACAAATTTCCAGTTGGGCATGTTTGATGTAGACAAGTTACATGCTCAGATATGTATGACCCACTAATACCCTCACTGTGTTGAGGACTGGCAGTGTCAGAGATGGCCACTTCTTGTACTGGCCGGTCAGTTTGGGCTGACAAAACTAGATGAGTAGGCTGGTCACTTGACTGGTCACTTGAATGTCTGCTAGTTTCACACAGTCCAGCTACAGGTGACTCCATAAATGCAGCTGGACCAAGTCCATTTATATGTTGTCTTCTACAGATTTTCCTACATGGGAATTGACTACCTAAAATAGTTGGTCTGAATTTTACCTTTGGTGTTTTGTTTTCACCAGGGTCAAACATGCTCAGTACCCTTCGCGCCTTCACTTAGAAATGGGCTTTTCTGGATCTTCAATTTTCAATGGAAATATCAACTTCTATAACCTGTGGATTGAATGTATATAGCCATTAGTTTTAAGAGCAGGGTCTACATCTTGACAAAATGTTATTAAACTAAAGCACATGACATAAATAAGATGGACTTTAAGAAAGGGATAAAACAATTATTTCTACAGAGTAATAAAATGTGTGCTTATAAAAAAAATGGATTGTGTTTTTTTTTAAATTTGATGAGAGCTGTTTGTTAATATTAATAATTTAGATAACTAGGCCATAAGCAATATTTAAAATGAACCAAAACAATTTAGTCTTGTGTCACATTAGAAAAAAAAACAATCTGTAGGAAAAAGGTTTTCATATTTTCATGTAAACATGATGGATGGGGGGGGGGGGGGGGGGTCTCTTTTTTATGCCAACTACCCCCCCCCCCCATAACAGTAGTAATTAGGCCTACTCTAAATATTACTAAGTAATAGCAGAACTCAAAATGTAGACTTGTAGACTCTATACTCTAATCTAGGCGCTATAGATTAGTTAGTTTTTTTTAGTTTAAGTATAGTATAGATCTGACACTGATTCTAAAAATATCAAATTTTCTGAATTATTTTCGGGCTTAAATTTTTATTATTTAGATCTAGATCTAGTCTATTATTTTTAAGGGTGTTTTGATTGCATAATCTTAAAAAAACGTTTTCTAATTTTTATCCAAGTCATTGTATGATTGTCAAAATTAAATTAGACATTAGATTTAGATCTAGATCTAGATCTATCTAGAATTCTAGATTCAAGATCTATCTAAAATCTAGATAATCAAGCTAGATTCTAGATCAAGTATTCAATAATGGGTAATCTATCGTTTTAGATTAGGTACGTAAAATCGCCCACTGCTATTTACCTCATTGTCAAGGCTTTAATAAAAGTATATTTATTATTGTGATATATTTGTGTCAAATATTATAGATAAATAATAAACCTAAATCAATGGCTAAATATATTAATATAAGCAAGAAATTAACTTTAGGCAGCAGTGCTTGCAAGCAGGATTTGCAATAGTATATAAAAAGCTGCCATCTGTAAGGAGTGGCTTCCCCTGAATCTTGTGCTATAAGTTTACAATAAAAAATAAATAAACAAGATGGGTGCTATAGTAAATGAGCATGGTTGCATCTGTTGGAAACATCACTAGTCTTCATTTATTACTGAAAAGTTTTAATTCAATTGTTTAAAAACAGCTAGATCTAGATAACTAAAACAAGGAAACATTTTAGTATTTTTCAAAACCTAAACTGTCCTAAACTAAATCCTCCTCAAAATGTGAAATAATTATTAAAATTTAAGAAGTCACCTGTTTTTCATATTACTAGTCGCGGGCGATTTTACGTACCTAAAACGATAGATTACCCATTATTACCCAATAAATATAATGAATGATTGAAGTTTTAAAGGATTCTCGTCCAATCTGTGGTAGATCTAGATTTATTATCTTGAATCTACAATTAATAATTATCTATAACTTGAGGTTTGAAGTTTGAAGTATCTAGAATTTCTAGAGCTAAACCAAGACAACTAGTCTACTACGAGTACTAACTTATTCATTAAATCATTCATAATTTTCATATTCATATCATTTCAATCAGTAAATCAGAATAAATCTAGTCTAGAGAGTTTAGAATAGTTTAGATTGTCTAGAAATCTAGATCTATCTACAACACAAATTCCAGCAGGACTTGAAAATAGAAAATGAAAGACTAGAATCTAGTCTAGATCTAGATCTAGATCTTCTAGAGATCTAGATCTACTAATCTAGATCTAGATCTAGATGAGATCTAGATTCTAGATCCAGATTCTAAATCTAAAAATCTATGATTAGATAGATCTAGATTTCTAAATCTAGATCTAAATCTAGATCTAGAGTTTAATTAATAATTAAGTTCACAAAAAATACAACAGCGTAAGTTGTAACCGGAAGTTGTAATGGTTAGTGCGTGTCAAAAGTTAAAACGAGACCAGAGTTTGAATTTGTTTTCAGTAAAAAACATTTCATGCTCCACTGTTTTCATAGGGTTGCCAGGTGTCCAGTTTTGAACTGGACAGTCCAGTATTTGAGCAGACTGTCCAGGATAAAATAAATATAAATACTGGACAAGTATATGAATAATACTCTGTTACCCCCCTAAGGGCCCCTTCTTCTGCTTTGCGGCATACCTGAGAAGAGAAGGATGGAAAGGTGTCCAATATTTTCGGAAAAGGTATCTGGCAACCCTATGTTTTCAAAATATTTTTTTAACAGATAGCCTAGATCTAGATTCTAGATCTAGATTCTAGAATAGATCTCGATTCTACATAGTATAGTGTTAAGCTTTAAACTGTTGAGCTAACGTTCAAGACTAACTCCGGGGGGGGGGGGGCTTAGGCGTGCATCCTTTACCTTAAGTGTAATAACATTGAAGCTAGTAGTAGTTAACTAGATCTAGATCTAATTTGAGGCGGATCAAACTTGAGCGGGCTGGTGGGGCTGAAAAGTTTTGGAAGAGGGTGTAATTTTGTGCTAGGTGTGATCCCATCTGTATAAAATGCAGACCTAGATCTAAACGTCAAATAAGATACAAAGAAATCATTAATATTATTTTCTTGAACTAGCCCTTAGCCTAACCCACAAGCCTAACCCTAGGTAAGATCTAATGCGTTAAAAATTGAATTCTAATGCCATTTGCACTTAATGACAACAACGAAAAACACACACTATCAAGACAAGTTTTGAACCCGAAAGCAATACTGGACAGCCGCCACACTATATATTTTGCCACTTAACGATTGAAAATAATGTGTAAAAATAAGTAGCCTGCATAATAATATTAAACGAAACCCTCTCTTAAAATTTTTAAAAATATGTATGCCTATAAATAACAGCTAAATATAGCGAATGTGAGAATCTCTATGCACGTTGCGTGTTTACTCAGTGGTTGGCGGATATAATCAGTTTCTTCTCGGCATCTCTTGGGGGGGGGGGGGGGGGGGAACTGAGCCCACCCGAAGAAAGTCTACCTCCCCCCTACCCCGAACGAAATGGAATTTATACAGGGCCGGCGCTACCTATAAAGCGAACTAGGCGGCAACCTAGGGCGCTGTCCGTAGGGGGGGGGGCAAAATGGGTTGGAAAAACAAATTGAAAGTTTAAAGGGGGGGGGGTGCAAATCGAAAGTTTGTCCCCGGGAATGGTCGCTGATAATACGGGGGCACGAAAACAATTGAGTGGGGGGTGGCGCTTTTAATAAGTTTTGCCTAGGGCGCTAAATAACCTGACGCCCGTACTGAATTTATATAGAAAATATAAACTTAACAGTGTACGCCCCCCACCCCCCGTAAATTTAAGTCCGCCTCCCAAAAAATTTCAAGTGCCCCTCCCCGGAGAAAAAAGTCTGGAAGAAACACTGGGGGGGGGGGGGGGAGGGGGGAAAGGAGCCCCCCCCCCATAAAGTCTATTTAATTTATGAAGTCGAAGTTAAATAAACTAATCTATCGAGTGATTAAATTTATCTCCTTTAGTTTTGAAACCGTTTAATTAATCTTGTCATCGAAGTGGAGCGTAACTGGAATGTTTGAATAAAATGGCTGTGTTCAGAGTTTCTTCCAGGCATCTCTTCCGCCCCCCCCCCCCCCGAACGCAATTAACTGTAATGTTTGAATAAAATGGCTGTGTTCAGAGTTTCTTCCAGGCATCTCTTCCGCCCCCCCCCCCCCCCCGAACGCAATTAACTGTAATGTTTGAATAAAATGGCTGTGTTCAGAGTTTCTTCCAGGCATCTCTTCAGCCCCCCCCCCCCCCCGAACGAAATTGAATTTATTTAGAAAATAGATACTTTTGACGTTGTCCGCCCCCCCCCCCGGAAATTGTTGTCTCTCCCCCTCCCCCCCCCCCCCCGAAAATTCTGGAAGAAACACTGGCTGCGTTAGAAGTGGGTCAAGATTGAGTTGGAAGATTTGCCACAAACAAATAAAAAACATACAGAGGTAACGATCTAAATAAAAGCTTGTAAAAATAACGAGTTTTTTTTTAATTAAACAAAAACAAAACTTCAATACTTTAAAAGTTTTAATCACTAAAATTGCATTACAAATGAACATCAACAATGTGCGTATTATAGCGCGGAAAATTAGTACTTCATATGCAGTGTTTCTTCCAGACTTTTTTCTCCGGAGGGGCACTTGAAATTTTCGGGGGAGGGGGGACGGTAGACTTTCTTCGGGGGGGGGGGGGGGGGGGGCGCACACTGTTAAAATTATATATTTTCTATATAAATTTCGTTCGGGGGGTCCCCCGAAGAGATGCCTGAAAGAAACTCTGCATATAAGAAACTTTAATTTAAAATTTAATAATTAATTACGCATCAATTAAGTCAAATTTTGATGTCACATTGCAATGTTATCAGATCTTGATGTACGTGCTAAGTTTTTTTTAAATTAGTCCGTTAGAAGTGCTCGCGACGTCATGACGGACGAAGCACTAGGCGGAGTACCAGGAAGTGAGGTAAACAAAAGCTGGTAAAAAAAAACGTGTGGAATGTGCAGCCAATCAGAGACTCTCATAACTCCGGTGAATTTTCTGTTTAGCTCGACGTGTGCCCAGGACAAGCAGGCTAACACCGCTCACCATGATGACGACAGATGCAAAGACCGACAACACGAAAGCCCAAGCCAGGTTGTCGTGTGTGTAGGTGGAGTAGAGTATAGCGCCCATCACACCTAGAACACCTGTGATTAGATTCACGGGATTAGGTTTCAGCAAAATACAATAAATTAAGATTAGACACTAGAAATCAGGATAAATCAATATTGCTTGAAGATTTAACAAAACATTTGATTAGGATTAAATCAAACAATCTAGTATTCAGACTTTTAGGCAAGTTAATGTAGAAATCTAAAGAACTGGTTCATCTAATTGAAGGCTTCTCAAAGATTCTCGTGGCTCTTTTGTTTGCACTGTTTGTCGAGTTAAGGTCTGTCATAGCGTCAGGATTAGTCCAGGCATGTTACTGCGGCAGCTGAGGCCTGACATATGTTCGTATATTCATATGTTCACGTGTTCATATATTCATATGTTCACGTGTTGATGTTACCTCTTCGTGTCAAAAGAAAAAACAAGCTAATGAACCAGACGAGGCACAAATGACGCACGTTATGAGCAAAGATGTGTACACTACCCCCCCCCCACATCGAATCTCCATTTGTTTTTCACCGTACAAAGTTATCGACCTAGTCAAATCTTACCTCACACATTGCCCCCCCCCCCCCCAATCAAACCTTACCTCCCACCCCCCACCCCCAATCAAATCTTACCTCACACATTGCCCCCCCCCCCCCCAATCAAACCTTACCTCCCACAGTAGCCGCCACTGCAGCAAGCCTGCGAGCCAAGTTCTGGTAGATGAGAAACCTGTTCTCAAGGACCTGGACGCCATAGGAAAACACCAGAGCCGCCACGGATGTGACGTCAGCAACCAGAGCAACAATTTCCAGACATTGGGTGGCTAGTGGGTTCCCTGGGTGGGGTGAGAGGTCAAAGTTGACATCACGTGACATGCTCATGGTAGTGCTATTGATAACTCACACATTCAAGCTGTTTACAACAATGCCCACGTGAATCACGTGTGTTGGATACAGCAAAAAGCAGCTTACCAAGCACGTTCAGTGAGCACCAGACCCCGTGTGTTGGGTACAGCAAAAAGCAGCTTACCAAGCACGTTCAGTGAGCACCAGACCCCGTGTGTTGGGTACAGCAAAAAGCAGCTTACCAAGCACGTTCAGTGAGCACCAGACCCCGTGTGTTGGGTACAGCAAAAAGCAACTTACCAAGCACGTTCAGTGAGCACCAGACCCCGTGTGTTGGGTACAGCAAAAAGCAACTTACCAAGCACGTTCAGTGAGCACCAGACCCCGTGTGTTGGGTACAGCAAAAAGCAGCTTACCAAGCACGTTCAGTGAGCACCAGACCCCGTGTGTTGGGTACAGCAAAAAGCAGCTTACCAAGCACGTTCAGTGAGCACCAGACCCCGTGTGTTGGGTACAGCAAAAAGCAGCTTACCAAGCACGTTCAGTGAGCACCAGACCCCGTGTGTTGGGTACAGCAAAAAGCAGCTTACCAAGCACGTTCAGTGAGCACCAGACCCCGTGTGTTGGATACAGCAAAAAGCAGCTTACCAAGCACGTTCAGTGAGCACCAGACCCCGTGTGTTGGGTACAGCAAAAAGCAGCTTACCAAGCACGTTCAGTGAGCACCAGACCCCGTGTGTTGGGTAGAGCAAAAAGCAGCTTACCAAGCACGTTCAGTGAGCACCAGACCCCGTGTGTTGGGTAGAGCAAAAAGCAGCTTACCAAGCACGTTCAGTGAGCACCAGACCCCGTGTGTTGGGTAGAGCAAAAAGCAGCTTACCAAGCACGTTCAGTGAGCACCAGACCCCGTGTGTTGGGTAGAGCAAAAAGCAGCTTACCAAGCACGTTCAGTGAGCACCAGACCACGTGTGTTGGGTAGAGCAAAAAGCAGCTTACCAAGCACGTTCAGTGAGCACCAGACCCCGTGTGTTGGGTACAGCAAAAAGCAGCTTACCAAGCACGTTCAGTGAGCACCAGACCCCGTGTGTTGGGTACAGCAAAAAGCAGCTTACCAAGCACGTTCAGTGAGCACCAGACCCCGTGTGTTGGGTACAGCAAAAAGCAGCTTACCAAGCACGTTCAGTGAGCACCAGACCCCGTGTGTTGGGTAGAGCAAAAAGCAGCTTACCAAGCACGTTCAGTGAGCACCAGACCCCGTGTGTTGGGTACAGCAAAAAGCAGCTTACCAAGCACGTTCAGTGAGCACCAGACCCCGTGTGTTGGGTAGAGCAAAAAGCAGCTTACCAAGCACGTTCAGTGAGCACCAGACCCCGTGTGTTGGGTACAGCAAAAAGCAGCTTACCAAGCACGTTCAGTGAGCACCAGACCCCGTGTGTTGGGTAGAGCAAAAAGCAGCTTACCAAGCACGTTCAGTGAGCACCAGACCCCGTGTGTTGGGTACAGCAAAAAGCAGCTTACCAAGCACGTTCAGTGAGCACCAGACCCCGTGTGTTGGGTACAGCAAAAAGCAGCTTACCAAGCACGTTCAGTGAGCACCAGACCCCGTGTGTTGGGTACAGCAAAAAGCAACTTACCAAGCACGTTCAGTGAGCACCAGACCCCGTGTGTTGGGTACAGCAAAAAGCAGCTTACCAAGCACGTTCAGTGAGCACCAGACCCCGTGTGTTGGGTACAGCAAAAAGCAGCTTACCAAGCACGTTCAGTGAGCACCAGACCCCGTGTGTTGGGTACAGCAAAAAGCAGCTTACCAAGCACGTTCAGTGAGCACCAGACCCCGTGTGTTGGGTACAGCAAAAAGCAACTTACCAAGCACGTTCAGTGAGCACCAGACCCCGTGTGTTGGGTACAGCAAAAAGCAGCTTACCAAGCACGTTCAGTGAGCACCAGACCCCGTGTGTTGGGTACAGCAAAAAGCAGCTTACCAAGCACGTTCAGTGAGCACCAGACCCCGTGTGTTGGGTACAGCAAAAAGCAGCTTACCAAGCACGTTCAGTGAGCACCAGACCCCGTGTGTTGGGTAGAGCAAAAAGCAGCTTACCAAGCACGTTCAGTGAGCACCAGACCCCGTGTGTTGGGTAGAGCAAAAAGCAGCTTACCAAGCACGTTCAGTGAGCACCAGACCCCGTGTGTTGGGTAGAGCAAAAAGCAGCTTACCAAGCACGTTCAGTGAGCACCAGACCCCGTGTGTTGGGTACAGCAAAAAGCAGCTTACCAAGCACGTTCAGTGAGCACCAGACCCCGTGTGTTGGGTAGAGCAAAAAGCAGCTTACCAAGCACGTTCAGTGAGCACCAGACCCCGTGTGTTGGGTACAGCAAAAAGCAGCTTACCAAGCACGTTCAGTGAGCACCAGACCCCGTGTGTTGGGTAGAGCAAAAAGCAGCTTACCAAGCACGTTCAGTGAGCACCAGACCCCGTGTGTTGGATACAGCAAAAAGCAGCTTACCAAGCACGTTCAGTGAGCACCAGACCCCGTGTGTTGGGTAGAGCAAAAAGCAGCTTACCAAGCACGTTCAGTGAGCACCAGACCCCGTGTGTTGGGTAGAGCAAAAAGCAGCTTACCAAGCACGTTCAGTGAGCACCAGACCCCGTGTGTTGGGTAGAGCAAAAAGCAGCTTACCAAGCACGTTCAGTGAGCACCAGACCCCGTGTGTTGGGTACAGCAAAAAGCAGCTTACCAAGCACGTTCAGTGAGCACCAGACCCCGTGTGTTGGGTACAGCAAAAAGCAACTTACCAAGCACGTTCAGTGAGCACCAGACCCCGTGTGTTGGGTAGAGCAAAAAGCAGCTTACCAAGCACGTTCAGTGAGCACCAGACCCCGTGTGTTGGGTAGAGCAAAAAGCAGCTTACCAAGCACGTTCAGTGAGCACCAGACCCCGTGTGTTGGGTACAGCAAAAAGCAACTTACCAAGCACGTTCAGTGAGCACCAGACCCCGTGTGTTGGGTAGAGCAAAAAGCAGCTTACCAAGCACGTTCAGTGAGCACCAGACCCCGTGTGTTGGGTAGAGCAAAAAGCAGCTTACCAAGCACGTTCAGTGAGCACCAGACCCCGTGTGTTGGGTAGAGCAAAAAGCAGCTTACCAAGCACGTTCAGTGAGCACCAGACCCCGTGTGTTGGGTACAGCAAAAAGCAGCTTACCAAGCACGTTCAGTGAGCACCAGACCCCGTGTGTTGGGTACAGCAAAAAGCAACTTACCAAGCACGTTCAGTGAGCACCAGACCCCGTGTGTTGGGTAGAGCAAAAAGCAGCTTACCAAGCACGTTCAGTGAGCACCAGACCCCGTGTGTTGGGTAGAGCAAAAAGCAGCTTACCAAGCACGTTCAGTGAGCACCAGACCCCGTGTGTTGGGTACAGCAAAAAGCAGCTTACCAAGCACGTTCAGTGAGCACCAGACCCCGTGTGTTGGATACAGCAAAAAGCAGCTTACCAAGCACGTTCAGTGAGCACCAGACCCCGTGTGTTGGGTAGAGCAAAAAGCAGCTTACCAAGCACGTTCAGTGAGCACCAGACCCCGTGTGTTGGATACAGCAAAAAGCAGCTTACCAAGCACGTTCAGTGAGCACCAGACCCCGTGTGTTGGGTACAGCAAAAAGCAGCTTACCAAGCACGTTCAGTGAGCACCAGACCCCGTGTGTTGGATACAGCAAAAAGCAGCTTACCAAGCACGTTCAGTGAGCACCAGACCCCGTGTGTTGGGTACAGCAAAAAGCAGCTTACCAAGCACGTTCAGTGAGCACCAGACCCCGTGTGTTGGATACAGCAAAAAGCAGCTTACCAAGCACGTTCAGTGAGCACCAGACCCCGTGTGTTGGATACAGCAAAAAGCAGCTTACCAAGCACGTTCAGTGAGCACCAGACCCCGTGTGTTGGATACAGCAAAAAGCAGCTTACCAAGCACGTTCAGTGAGCACCAGACCCCGTCCTTGCACGTCCACAGCCCCGCGTAGATGTAGGTGGAGAAGACATACAAGACCGACCACTCCGGACTGCTGAACGCCACGATAAACCCACACACAGCCAGCACCAGCAGCACATGGAAGCAGATGACCAACCGCTGCACGTCATCTCCCGGCGCCATTTCACTTCGACTGTCTCGTGGCAATCTGTCTGGGGTGCTAGATCACGTGTCTTGTTCTCATAGATTACGTGCCTTACTCACGTAGTTGACGGCTTACTGACTGAAATCCCATGAAATCACCAAGTATCCCATGAAATCCCATGAAATCACGCGAAATCCTATTAAATCACGCGAAATTCCATTAAATCTATTGAAATCAGAAGTACAAGTCTTCTGCAACTTGAAGACAGTGAAAGTTGCGACCGTCGACTGCAACACGTGATCACCGTGTTTTTTGTACTCAGCGCCACACACGGTGTACCGAGAAGTTGTCAGCAGACGTGAGCCAACTAAAGCACGACGTATTCACCAGTTATCAGCAGACGTGGGCCAACTAAAGCACGACGTATTCACCAGTTATCAGCAGACGTGAGCCAACTAAAGCACGACGTATTCACCAGTTATCAGCAGACGTGAGCCAACTAAAGCACGACGTATTCACTAGCCTGATCCGGTGTATGTCACGTGACTGGCTATGGTTTACGTCTTTCTGCTTTAGACGTACAGAGTATTGTGTTGTGATTGATTAGGCTGCTAGAGTATTGTGTTGTGATTGAGTAGGCTGCTAGAGTATTGTGTTATGATTGAGTAGGCTGCTAGAGTATTGTGTTGTGATTGAGTAGGCTGCTAGAGTATTGTGTTGTGATTGAGTAGGCTGCTAGAGCATTGTGTTGTGATTGAGTAGGCTGCTAGAGTATTGTGTTGTGATTGAGTAGGCTGCTAGAGTATTGTGTTGTGATTGAGTAGGCTGCTAGAGCATTGTGTTGTGATTGAGTAGGCTGCTAGAGTATTGTGTTGTGATTGAATAGGCTGCTAGAGTATTGTGTTGTGATTGAGTAGGCTGCTAGAGCATTGTGTTGTGATTGAGTAGGCTGCTAGAGTATTGTGTTGTGATTGAGTAGGCTGCTAGAGTATTGTGTTGTGATTGAGTAGGATGCTAGAGTATTGTGTTGTGCGACGATTGAGTAGCCTGCTAGAGTATTGTGTTGTGATTGAGTAGGCTGCTAACTTTTTGAAATAGAACCTCGGCTGTCGTCGATAATGTGTCTGAAACCCAGTGGCGTAGGTAGGCTAAGGGGGGGGGGGGGTCCATCCGGGGTTGATGTTTAGCCCAAGACTTCTACATTTGGCCATTAGTTCGATCATGGGCGTTTTCTTTTTCTGGCATGTGAGAGCCAAGTCATCTGGCAAGTCATCTGGCAAGTCACCAGGCAAGTCATCAGGCAAGTCATCAGGCAAGTCATCATCTAAGTCATCTGGCAAGTCATAAGCCAAGTCATCAGTCAAGTCATCTGGCAAGTCATCAGGCAAGTCACCAGCCAAATCATCAGGCAAGTCATCTGGCAAGTCATCAGGCAAGTCATCTGGCAAGTCATCTGGCAAGTCATCTGGCAAGTCATCTGGCAAGTCATCTGGCAAGTCATCTGGCAAGTCATCAGGCAAGTCATCAGGCAAGTCATCAGGCAATTCATCAGGCAATTCATCATCTAAGTCATCCAGTTTGTTTAGCTCCCCTACAGTTTCTCTTGGCCATTCTTTAGCAGCTTCTCTCACAGCCCAATCTATAACAGGTGACACGGACAGGTGACACTGACAGGTGACACTGACAGGTGACACTGACAGGTGACACTGACAGGTGACACTGACAGGTGACACTGACAGGTGACACTGACAGGTAACACTGACAGGTGACACTGACAGGTGGTATGACACAGCCCAATCTATAACCACAACAAAGGTGACATTGGCAGGTGACACTGACAGGTGGTATGACACAGCCCAATCTATAACCACAACAAAGGTGACATTGGCAGGTGACAGTGACAGGTGGTATGACACAGCCCAATCTATAACCACCACGAAGGTGACACTGACAGGTGACACTGACAGGTAACACTGAGGTGACACTGACAGGTGGTATGACACAGCCCAATCTATGACCACAACAAAGGTGACATTGGCAGGTGACACTGACAGGTGGTATGACACAGCCCAATCTATAACCACCACGAAGGTGACACTGGCAGGTGACACTGACAGGTGACACTGACAGGTGACACTGACAGGTGGTATGACACAGCCCAATCTATAACCACAACAAAGGTGACATTGGCAGGTGACAGTGACAGGTGGTATGACACAGCCCAATCTATAACCACCACGAAGGTGACACTGGCAGGTGACACTGACAGGTGACACTGACAGGTGACACTGACAGGTGGTATGACACAGCCCAATCTATAACCACAACAAAGGTGACATTGGCAGGTGACAGTGACAGGTGGTATGACACAGCCCAATCTATAACCACCACGAAGGTGACATTGGCAGGTGGTATGAAAAAACTCTGGAAGAAATACTGCTTGCACGACCCAGCTCTGACTATGAACAATTCGCTTGGCTGATGTTCATGGCACACACATCATTGGTTATCTTCATACATTGGCTTGGCTGAAGTTCATGGCACACACATCATTGGTTATCTTCATACATTGGCTTGGCTGAAGTTCATGGCACACACATCATTGGTTATCTTCATACATTGGCTTGGCTGATGTTCATGGCACACACATCATTGGTTATCTTCATACATTGGCTTGGCTGAAGTTCATGGCACACACATCATTGGTTATCTTCATACATTGGCTTGGCTGAAGTTCATGGCACACACATCATTGGTTATCTTCATACATTGGCTTGGCTGATGTTCATGGCACACACATCATTGGTTATCTTCATACATTGGCTTGGCTGAAGTTCATGGCACACACATCATTGGTTATCTTCATACATTGGCTTGGCTGAAGTTCATGGCACACACATCATTGGTTATCTTCATACATTGGCTTGGCTGATGTTCATGGCACACACATCATTGGTTATCTTCATACATTGGCTTGGCTGAAGTTCATGGCACACACATCATTGGTTATCTTCATACATTGGCTTGGCTGATGTTCATGGCACACACATCATTGGTTATCTTCATACAGTCATCTGGCAAGTCATCAGGCAAGTCATCTGGCAAGTCATCTGGCAAGTCATCTGGCAAGTCATCTGGCAAGTCATCAGGCAAGTCATCAGGCAAGTCATCAGGCAATTCATCAGGCAATTCATCATCTAAGTCATCCAGTTTGTTTAGCTCCCCTACAGTTTCTCTTGGCCATTCTTTAGCAGCTTCTCTCACAGCCCAATCTATAACAGGTGACACGGACAGGTGACACTGACAGGTGACACTGACAGGTGACACTGACAGGTGACACTGACAGGTGACACTGACAGGTGACACTGACAGGTGACACTGACAGGTAACACTGACAGGTGACACTGACAGGTGGTATGACACAGCCCAATCTATAACCACAACAAAGGTGACATTGGCAGGTGACACTGACAGGTGGTATGACACAGCCCAATCTATAACCACAACAAAGGTGACATTGGCAGGTGACAGTGACAGGTGGTATGACACAGCCCAATCTATAACCACCACGAAGGTGACACTGACAGGTGACACTGACAGGTAACACTGAGGTGACACTGACAGGTGGTATGACACAGCCCAATCTATAACCACAACAAAGGTGACATTGGCAGGTGACACTGACAGGTGGTATGACACAGCCCAATCTATAACCACCACGAAGGTGACACTGGCAGGTGACACTGACAGGTGACACTGACAGGTGACACTGACAGGTGGTATGACACAGCCCAATCTATAACCACAACAAAGGTGACATTGGCAGGTGACAGTGACAGGTGGTATGACACAGCCCAATCTATAACCACCACGAAGGTGACACTGGCAGGTGACACTGACAGGTGACACTGACAGGTGACACTGACAGGTGGTATGACACAGCCCAATCTATAACCACAACAAAGGTGACATTGGCAGGTGACAGTGACAGGTGGTATGACACAGCCCAATCTATAACCACCACGAAGGTGACATTGGCAGGTGGTATGAAAAAACTCTGGAAGAAATACTGCTTGCACGACCCAGCTCTGACTATGAACAATTCGCTTGGCTGATGTTCATGGCACACACATCATTGGTTATCTTCATACATTGGCTTGGCTGAAGTTCATGGCACACACATCATTGGTTATCTTCATACATTCGCTTGGCTGATGTTCATGGCACACACATCATTGGTTATCTTCATACATTGGCTTGGCTGAAGTTCATGGCACACACATCATTGGTTATCTTCATACATTTTCTTGGCCTATGTTCATGGCACACACATCATTGGTTATCTTCATACATTGGCTTGGCTGATGTTCATGGCACACACATCATTGGTTATCTTCATACATTGGCTTGGCTGAAGTTCATGGCACACACATCATTGATTATCTTCATACATTGGCTTGGCTGAAGTTCATGGCACACACATCATTGGTTATCTTCATACATTGGCTTGGCTGAAGTTCATGGCACACACATCATTGATTATCTTCATACATTGGCTTGGCTGATGTTCATGGCACACACATCATTGGTTATCTTCATACATTGGCTTGGCTGAAGTTCATGGCACACACATCATTGGTTATCTTCATACATTGGCTTGGCTGAAGTTTATGGCACACACATCATTGGTTATCTTCATAAATTTTCTTGGCTGATGTTCATGGCACACACATCATTGGTTATCTTCATACATTGGCTTGGCTGATGTTCATGGCACACACATCATTGGTTATCTTCATACATGCCTTTTAGTAGATTGATGACCCTTTCTGGGAGTCCAGAGAACTCGAATGTCTTACATGGTAATAGATGCTGGATGTCATCAAAAGCTGTTTCAAAACCTACATAATAATATATTTAGAGGAGTTCCATTCTACTGACGGTTCTCCTGTGTTTAGCAAAACATATTTGCTGGTTGTACGATCTATTCCCTGTAAAGCCAGCTTGTTGCTTATGGAACATCTATTCCAGGTCTCTGCAGCAAGACTTTGCATACAATTCCCTGACACTGACAGAAGGTAAATGGCTGTCCAGTTTTCACATTTAGCCACGTCACAATTTTTGTACAATTACCTCTGAGTGCTTTTACATCGTTCGTGGATCTTTGAAACTTTCAGGAGAGAAGATGACCAATCTCAGGAACAACAGATCTCAGAACGTCAAGTCCTAAGATCTTTTAAAATTTCAGGAGAGAAGATGACCAATCTCAGGAACAACAGATCTCAGAACGTCCCACGATCTTTTAAAATTTCAGGAGAGAAGATGACCAATCTCAGGAACAACAGATCTCAGAACGTCAAGTCCTAAGATCTTTTAAACTTTCAGGAGAGAAGATGACCACTCTCAGGAACAACAGATCTCAGAACGTCCCACGATCTTTTAAAATTTCAGGAGAGAAGATGACCAATCTCAGGAACAACAGATCTCAGAACGTCAAGTCCTAAGATCTTTTAAACTTTCAGGAGAGAAGATGACCAATCTCAGGAACAACAGATCTCAGAACGTCCCACGATCTTTGAAACTTTCAGGAGAGAAGATGACCAATCTCAGGAACAACAGATCTCAGAACGTCAAGTCCTAAGATCTTTGAAACTTTCAGGAGAGAAGATGACCAATCTCACGAACAACAGATCTCAGAACGTCCCAAGATCTTTTGTTTTGATATATTTTGTCGACAATGTAAACCAGAAGTAACATACAGAAGTACACGATGTAAACAATACTAAACACACACACATGTAGTATATGTAAACAATACTAAGCACACACACATGTAGTATATGTAAAGTGTAGTGTATGTAAAGTGTAGTGTATGTAAACAAGACTAAACACAGACGTATGTCGTGTATGTAAAGTGTAGTGTATGTAAAGTGTAGTGTATGTAAACAATACTAAGCACAGATGTATGTAGTGTATGTAAAGTGTAGTGTATGTAAAGTGTAGTGTATGTAAAGTGTAGTGTATGTAAACAAGACTAAACACAGACGTATGTCGTGTATGTAAAGTGTAGTGTATGTAAAGTGTAGTGTATGTAAACAATACTAAGCACAGATGTATGTAGTGTATGTAAAGTGTAGTGTATGTAAAGTGTAGTGTATGTAAACAATACTAAACACAGATGTATGTAGTGTATGTAAAGTGTAGTGTATGTAAACAAGACTAAACACAGATGTATGTAGTGTATGTAAACAATACTAAACACAGATGTATGTAGTGTATGTAAAGTGTAGTGTATGTAAACAAGACTAAGCACAGATGTATGTAGTGTATGTAAACGGTTGTAACTTGTGAAAGAAGTTCTAGGCCAGCAAGCGCTCTGTTTGTTTAAGTCGTCCCCCCCCCCCCCCTTCCAGGTTCTGCCAAATGTTTTTATCGTGTGTTCATTGAGCCCACAGCTCAGCAAAATGGTGGGAGAGTGAGCTGGGAATTCCCGTTCGTTACAAATATCGGGCTATAAAAAACATCAATGGCCGAGTTTATTTAATGTCTGCACATGAGTTACGCTTGTTTGTGTCTGTCTACCTTTCCTGTTTATTTTCTGTCTACCGATGCTTGTTCGTTGGGATAAATCTAGTGCCACTGCTAGCTCCCAGTCATTGATTCGACTGTCAAACCAAGTCCACTAAGTGTGGCTACATGTGGCTACATGTGGCTATATGTGACTACATGTGGCTATATGTGACTACATGTGGCTACATGTGGCTACATGTGGCTACTGTTGTAGTGACTAACCTTAGCTCGAGGCTGGATGTACCCTATTCAGCCCCCCCCCCCCCCCCGCCTTTCTGAAGTGGCTCTCAAATATCCACGCCCATGCCAGACGACCCGCCATCTTTATTGAGCTAATCACATCATCCTGCTCTTTTTTACCAGTTCATATCTGATAACTAACTCAAAACATGGAAATCTACTCGCACACACACACACTAAATCTCCACCCCCCCCCTCACAAAAATGCATTACACTCAGACGAATCTTGCAGTTCTGACCCCCGAAGAGATGCCTGGAAGAAACTCTGATTATTTTGTCTTGTTACCTATTATTTTACTCTTGAATTTAGTCATCTTATAATTACATTTTAATAACTAAACTAATGTCTAAATAGATTACAAATTATATATTCTTGCATTGTCACCCGAGACGAAAGCATCTGGAAAATTTGACCGAAATCGCTGCATTAAAAGTGGGTTAACATTGAGTTCACTGGCAACTCAGATTTGCGTGGCAAACTGTGGGAGAAGAAAACGCAGAAGATACTTCGTGTTCACCCAATAAACAAACAATAAATCTACCATCAGTATTTGAACAGATGTCAATGAAATGCTACCCCTACCCCCACCAGCACAACTTGCACTCACTGCCATAATCACTCCTTGATGACGCGGCGGTTTTTTCCTTCTATTTTTCCTTTTCTTTTCGCGCGTGAAAACATTAGAGCTCTCCGCTTATTAAGTGGCGCATGCGTGTCAGTGGAGCAGACGGACCGAAAACAGCAGACGTTGGAGTTTACCGTTCACACCAGTCACGTGGTCATGTGAGACCAATTTTTCAAACTCTGGAACTTAAGGAGCATTCTATGTTTTTCTGTGAACAAAAACTTATACGACCGATATGTTCATTTCATTTGTTCAGTTTCTGTGAACAGCGAGTTCTATACATACATATATATATATGACAGATACGTTCATTTAATGTATTCAAGTTTTATCGAATAAGCTCAATAATTTAAAGCAATTGTTACAATGTTTTCTATATTTGGCTTTTACTGGAGTAACTTATCTGGACACTTGCTCGTATGTTGTATCCTAGCTCTCTGCCAGGTTGGTCATCATTTCTTTACCCCCGTCTAGACATACATTTGTTGCCAATAGCTTCAGTGTGAAGTTACGTGATAGCCTGTAAGAGGGAGTAGGACATTCCCCCCCCACCCCCACCCCCCTCCTGTCAGTTGCCTCCGGTCATTTCCATACGTTCATAAACCCACAAATCAGTTAAACATGTGTAAATTATCCTCCCCTCCCCCTCCCCCCCCCCCCCAGAAAAAAAAGGTAGAACCACGAACGGATTGAGTCAGTGCGGACGATAGAACTATTAATTTGGAAGGGTTCGATGAATGAGTATATGGAACTGATGGGGTTCGGGAAATAAAAAAAAAAGTTAACAACCACTGAGTTAAAGATAGGGAGAATGGGATAGGTTTAAGTGTAGGATAAGAGTTAGGGTTGGGTTTAAGTGTAGGGTAAGAGTTAGGGTTGGGTTTAGGTGTGGGGTAAGAGTTAGGGTTGGGTTTAGGTGTAGAGTAAGAGTTAGGGTTAGGTTTAGGTGTAGGGTAAGAGTTAGGGTTGGGTTTAGGTGTAGGGTAAGAGTTAGGGTTGGGTTTAGGTGTAGGGTAAGAGTTAGGGATAGGTTTAAGTGTAGGGTAAGAGTTAGGGTTGGGTTTAGGTGTAGGGTAAGAGTTAGGGTTGGGTTTAGGTGTAGAGTAAGAGTTAGGGTTAGGTTTAGGTGTAGGGTAAGAGTTAGGGTTGGGTTTAGGTGTAGGGTAAGAGTTAGGGTTGGGTTTAGGTGTAGGGTAAGAGTTAGGGTTGGGTTTAGGTGTAGGGTAAGAGTTAGGGATAGGTTTAAGTGTAGGATAAGTTAGAGATAGGTTTAGGTGTAGGATAAGTTAGAGATAGGTTTAGGTATAGGGTAAGAGTTAGGAATAGATGTGTGTGATATGTTTGTTGGATGCTGTGTAATAGGTTTTTCGAATGCTGTTTGATATGCAAACTAAAAACTTTTTGCTTTGGTTTTCTCCCCTTTAGACTTGTACGTTGGTCTCAGCGAAATATGGTGAGTGTTTTAAATGTGACATTTTGTCTCAGCGAAATAAGGTGAGTCTACCGCCCCCCACCCCCCTCGAATGAAATGGAATGTATATAGAAAATATATACTTTTGAGAGTGTCCGCCCCCCCCCCCCCCCCCGAAAATTTCAAGTGCCCCCCGGAGAAAAAAGTCTGGAACAAACACTGCTAACAAGTCTAACCAGGTTGTGTATTTGCTGGACCAGCACTTTTAAAGCCGGGCGATTTGTGAAGTTCTGGCACAAACTTCGATTACGTCATTACTTCTCATTTATAAAGATAATAAACTAGCAGTGGGGTGCTATGGAAGGTTTGAAAGGAATACCTTACTTTATCAACAAGATGAAGATCTGGAATGTTTGTTTGGCTGTTGTGGTGTTGGCTAGCGTGCCGTCTAATTATCGGCTGTTGATGGTTGGCTGTTTTGTGCTGTTGGCTGTTACAGAGGTCACCTCTATGTGTAGAACTTGACCACTATGTTGGTTGTTACACCTCTAAGTGTAGAACTTGACCACTATGTTGGCTGTTACACCTCTAAGTGTAGAACTTGACCACTATGTTGGCTGTTACACCTCTAAGTCTAGAACTTGACCACTATGTTGGCTGTTACACCTCTAAGTGTAGAACTTGACCACTATGTTGGCTGTTACAGAGGTCATCTCTAAGTGTAGAACTTGACCACTATGTTGGTTGTTACACCTCTAAGTGTAGAACTTGACCACTATGTTGGCTGTTACACCTCTAAGTGTAGAACTTGACCACTATGTTGGCTGTTACACCTCTAAGTGTAGAACTTGACCACTATGTTGGCTGTTACAGAGGTCATCTCTAAGTGTAGAACTTGACCACTATGTTGGTTGTTACACCTCTAAGTGTAGAACTTGACCACTATGTTGGCTGTTACACCTCTAAGTCTAGAACTTGACCACTATGTTCTTGCTTACACCCAGTCAGGGCTCGGACGGTCACCCGTCTATATATTTACAGGCTACATACATATTGTATTGCGGGTCATAGTAACCCGATCTCTTGACCTTCTCAGCTCAGGTCGTGTTAGCTCAACTCCCCAAATGTTAGCTCAGGTCGTGTTAGCTCAACTCCCCAAATGTTAGCTCAGGTAACCAGGTAGACGCGAGATTTCTTAGCTCCCTGCACGAACATGCACTCAGGTTTCTCTGTAGTTAGGGCAAAGGGCTGGTGTAGACACACACACACACACACACACACACACAGACACACAGACATATATATATATATATATATATATATATATATATATATATATATATATATATATATATATATATATATATATATATATATATATATATATATATATATATCCTAATATATAAAACCACACGTGTTCGCACTTCTCTCTCTCTGTCCGCAAAATATTTTCGCCGGATATCACGTCAGAATCGGCAGCGATATATGGATACCTTTATACGGACTTTTGTTGAAAATAATATGTTAGATGTTTTAAATGTATAACCACAATTTTATTTAAAGAAGAAAAATAAAAAATAAAGGCGTATTCGAATGTAGAGAAACAGTATTATTTATGCAACCGGAAAAGTGTATAAACTTGGGACAAGAACACATTTAACAATGACGTCGCTTATTGTTTACACTAAATAGAAAAACAGCACAAAACTGATGACGTCATCTTCCGAGTTTAGAATTTTAAAAAATGAACTATTTCAATGAACTATTTCATTCAAATATGATTTAGAGCTATGTACGCTATGAAATGTATACAATACGATTTTCTCGGCCTAAACTTAAAAAAATAATTTTATCTATTTGGATTCTAGATCTAGAGATTCTAGATCTAGATATTGATATAGATCTAGATATTCTAGATCATCTAGATCTAGAGATTCTAGATCATATAGATCTAGAGATTCTAGATTATATAGATCTAGATATTCTAGATCATCTAGATCTAGAGATTCTAGATCATATAGATCTAGAGATATTCTAGATCTAGATCTAGATTATCTATAAAGCTAAGTTGTCAGGTGCCCGATAGGGCACTTCCCGGTGCCGCAGGCGCTTCAAATTTGGCAGGATCTTGCCTTGGGGCGACAGAACACGTTGGCCGGTTGGCCGAAAAGTCTACGATGAGGGGGTCAAAACTGACCTCGACTGACCGGCGCCTTATATGGGCGAATTAATTAAGCATTCAAATTCTCAATGTTTTCGAAAGCCTAAGCGAAGCTGGGCAGCATGCCCTAGTATATATATATTCCACAAAGATTCCCAGAGTGTGAAATTGTTGTTTACATGACTCAATCTTGAAGTCGACATCAATCGACACTAGCGCACCATTAGCTAAAACTAAATCCGACAACTCACAACTCATTTTAAAGGTGTATGCTGGGGGGGGGGGGGGGGGGGGGGGAGGAGGAGGGAGGAGGAGGAGGGAGGGGGAGCCACGCTCCCTTACCCACACCACAGCCTTTGACGTCATATTATCGGGGAAGGGGTCGAATTGAAGTCGTTTGGAATAGCTGAGCCCCGCGTGACGTGAGAGACGCAAATGTAATGCACGTGCATCAAAGTTGAGCAAAGATGTAGGTCGGGGCTTCAACAAAGCGGGTCAGTTGACCCCATTTTTCTTTGAACGGGAAAATCCGGTGAAGTCTTCAAAATGGCTGATATGCGCATCAGTGTCATCCCATTTATGGCGTATTTCCATCGCTGCTTGTATAAGAGGTCAAGACGAGGCGTTAGCTCCGGTCAGCCGAAGAACGGGCAGGTTTCATGCGTGGAGCTAACAGACAGATATTGGTTTTGTTTTAAATTCAACCCCCCCCCCTCCCTTGTTTAATGAAGCAGTTACACATGTATACCGCCACGGTCAAATCTTGACGCGACGACAACAATCCCAGGCAATAAACGTATACCGCACAAATAGAAATGCAAAATTGTTGGCCGTAAAAAATGTTGGACGTAAAATTGTTGGACGTAAAAATTGTTGGACGTAAAAAATGACAACTTGAGAGAACTTATCTCCCCCTTTCACTCCACCATCTGAAGATCATCCGAGACGGGCTACTTCAGAGAACTTATCGAATCAGCGGCACGTCTAGGGGGGGGGGGGGGCTCTTGATCTTCACCACACGCTCCACACACTTCATTACGTATTCAAATGTGCCACAAAAGCGATGGTGGTGTGAAATCCAGGCATCTTTTCGGGGGGGGGGAAGGACAAGCCTCCCCCGAAGAAAGTTTACCTCCCCACCCCAACGAAATGGAGTTTATATAGAAATCATATACTTCTACCAGTGTCCGCCCCCAGGAATATTTAGTCGTCCCCCCCCAACCCGAAAATATCAAGTGCCCCCCCCCCCCCCCCCGGAGAATAAAGTCTGGAAGAAACACTGTGTGAAATATAGGCGCATATATATATACGTATATATATATACATATATATATATATATATACATATATATATATATATATATATATATATATATATATATATATATATATATATATATATGCCGACGCCTTCATTGACCAGCCAATAATTGCTCTGGCCGACTTCGAGCAATGACCGTTATATATATATATATATATATATATATATATATATATATATATATATATATATATATATATATATATATATATATATATATATATATATATATATATATATATATATATATATATATATATATAGAATGCCCGCTGAGTTGCGGATGGCGTGATTAGCACTTGGTATGGTCACGTGACCGACCAAGCTGACGAGAAGATCAACTGTGAAGCAGAAAAAAAAATGGTGGATCTAACGGTCAGCTGACACCTCTGTGTCACGTGCACCTTCTGTTGTTGACAGCGTCTCATTTGATTGGATGAGTCAAGCGGCGGCAAATTTTTCGTTGTTTGATGAGTTGGTCGTTAACCGTTAGGGCAAATGTGTGTGCTGGCGACTGAAATAATAAATCAGCGGGAGTGTTTTTGTTTTTGTATCGTTGGCCCTACACGTGTGTACACAATTTATCATGAGAAATAACTCATTGAGTTAGTTGTTCAAAAGTTCATTATGTACGCAAATTACAGACTGGAAAATAAATGAATAAATAAAATAAACATTGCCGTGGTGCCGGCGACTGCGCCTGCTGAAATTTTAACACCGAAATAGCGCTACCCATCACCTGCTATGCTGGACGCCCGATTGACGATACCAAGTGGTAAAATAGCCGCTCTGGAAGTTTGGGCGACAAACCGTGGATTGACGAAAATCGCACCTTCCAGGGGCGTTCCCATAAGAAATTTTAATTATTTTGTTCACAGAAGCCTTATCGGGAGTGTTCTCATCAATTCCCCAAAGTTTCAGGGCACTCGGGTGAACGGTGTCGAACCGCATCCGACGTTAATTTTTTATATACCGTATATTGAGAATAATCGAATCGCGTCCTGCCGGGGCGCCACCCCTGCGAATTTGAAATATTTTTTTTTTCCGCATAAACATCCCCAGGAGTATTCTCAAAATCTTCCCAAGGTATCATGGCGATCGGATGAAAGGTGTAGAAATGCATAAAAGACAGACAAACACACACATACATTGCTTTTTATATTTATAGATAGACTAGCCGTCCCGGCCAGGCCCTGCTCTGGCTTCTGTGAAAAACCTTTCTGTTAAAGACCATTACCTGTGTGTTTGGTAATCATCATAAACCCGGCATTGCCCACCCAAACCACAACCAACCAAAACCAAAACAACAAAACGCAAACGTAACGCTAACACAATTACAAATACAAACGAAAACAAAAACCTAACAACAAACACAACCACAAACACCAATACAAACACAAAGAAAAAACAAACAAAAAAGCGAACGAAAACAAAAACCTAACAACAAACCCAACCACAACCACAAACACCAATACGAACACAAAGAAAAAAACAAACGAAAAAGCAAACGAAAACAAACCAAATCCAAACGCAAAACCAACCACAAACACAAACACAAACCCAACAAAAAAAAACACAAGCAAAAAAGCAAACGAAAACAAACCAAATCCAAACCCAACCACAAACACAAATACAAACACAAACCCAAAAAAAAAAAACACAAACGAAAACGAAAAAAGAAAGAACAAAAACGAACCAAATCAAAACGCAACCACTAACGCAAACCCAACCTAAACACAGTGAAAACACAAACGCGAACATAAACGCAAAGTGCTCACCGTCTAGCCCGGGGCAGAATCGCCTGTTTCAGCTTAATAAACGACTATAGTACCCCAACTTATTCATAGTCTTTTGCACTCACTTAAACTAACGTAGTTGCCAAACCAAACCAAATGAACAATTATAATACTCCAAGCTTATCCGTAAAATACCTACAACATTTGCACTTGATCAATCCCCGCTAATTATGTAATTATTTTTTCCCAACACCAAAACAAAGTAATAAAAAGTAAATTCTTTTCCACTAATGCAATGTTTTATAAAGGGAAGTAATTGTGTTTTCCTAATTTATCAAAGGGAAGTAAGTGCTAAAGGACTAAATATAAATAATTTTCAGACATAATTAGATTTTTTGTAAAAGATGATAATTTTTTAAAATTGTGTTTAATGAACATGCCGACAATTATTACTATCAGTTTGAAAAATGAAAATTATTTCCCAACACTTTCAATAGTAATTTTTAAACTCATAAATTTAGACTATGAGCACGATAATAATCTAACACTTAAATCCATCAAAGTATATCAACGACAAACTTATTACATGTTACATACAGAATTGAGCTTTATATATTAGATTACCTACTTTTTCTATTCGGAGAGGGGGCTATCAGCTGTCTTGTGTCTCCAGGTCAAGGTTTGCCGTGCCGGCCTGTGCACCAGGAGATCAGCTTCCCACGTGTGCGTGACGTCAACGGCAAAAAGACGTCAATCCATTCCATTTCCGGTGATACTGTGTACGTCACATTGACGTGGAGGAGGAGGAGACTGGACATCGTGCTACACAGGAACGAGCTGACCTCGCCAGGGACCTACAGCCAGTGGTCGCAGGAAAACGTCACATACGCTCACACCATCGACCAGACGTGCTTTTATTACGGCTACCTGGCCAACGTGACGTCATCGTCGGCTGCCATCACGACTTGCGACGGTTTGGTAAGATCGGACGTGACGTCATACTGTTTTGTTTGTGTAACCCATGCTAGTGTAGGGTTGTCTGACCCATGCTAGTGTAGGGTTGTGAGACCCATGCTAGTGTAGGGTTGTCTGACCCATGCTAGTGTAGGGTTGTCTGACCCATGCTAGTGTAGGGTTGTCTGACCCATGCTAGTGTAGGGTTGTCTGACCCATGCTAGTGTAGGGTTGTCTGACCCATGCTAGTGTAGGGTTGTGTGACCCATGCTAGTGTAGGGTTGTCTGACCCATGCTAGTGTAGGGTTGTGTAACCCATGCTAGTGTAGGGTTGTCTGACCCATGCTAGTGTAGGGTTGTCTGACCCATGCTAGTGTAGGGTTGTCTGACCCATGCTAGTGTAGGGTTGTCTGACCCATGCTAGTGTAGGGTTGTGTAACCCATGCTAGTGTAGGGTTGTCTGACCCATGCTAGTGTAGGGTTGTGTAACCCATGCTAGTGTAGGGTTGTCTGACCCATGCTAGTGTAGGGTTGTCTGACCCATGCTAGTGTAGGGTTGTGTGACCCATGCTAGTGTAGGGTTGTCTGACCCATGCTAGTGTAGGGTTGTGACTCATGCTAGTGTAGGGTTGTCTGACCCATGCTAGTGTAGGGTTGTGACCCATGCTAGTGTAGGGTTGTCTGACCCATGCTAGTGTAGGGTTGTCTGACCCATGCTAGTGTAGGGTTGTGTAACCCATGCTAGTGTAGGGTTGTCTGACCCATGCTAGTGTAGGGTTGTCTGACCCAGTGTAGGGTTGTCTGACCCATGCTAGTGTAGGGTTGTCTGACCCATGCTAGTGTAGGGTTGTGTGACCCATGCTAGTGTAGGGTTGTCTGACCCATGCTAGTGTAGGGTTGTCTGACCCATGCTAGTGTAGGGTTGTGACCCATGCTAGTGTAGGGTTGTGTAACCCATGCTAGTGTAGGGTTGTCTGACCCATGCTAGTGTAGGGTTGTCTGACCCATGCTAGTGTAGGGTTGTCTGACCCATGCTAGTGTAGGGTTGTCTGACCCATGCTAGTGTAGGGTTGTGTGACCCATGCTAGTGTAGGGTTGTCTGACCCATGCTAGTGTAGGGTTGTCTGACCCATGCTAGTGTAGGGTTGTGTGACCCATGCTAGTGTAGGGTTGTCTGACCCAGTGTAGGGTTGTCTGACCCATGCTAGTGTAGGGTTGTCTGACCCATGCTAGTGTAGGGTTGTCTGACGGTAGTGTAGGGTTGTGTGACCCATGCTAGTGTAGGGTTGTGTGACCCATGCTAGTGTAGGGTTGTCTGACCCAGTGTAGGGTTGTCTGACCCATGCTAGTGTAGGGTTGTCTGACCCATGCTAGTGTAGGGTTGTCTGACCCATGCTAGTGTAGGGTTGTCTGACCCATGCTAGTGTAGGGTTGTGTAACCCATGCTAGTGTAGGGTTGTGTAACCCATGCTAGTGTAGGGTTGTCTGACCCATGCTAGTGTAGGGTTGTGTTACCCATGCTAGTGTAGGGTTGTGTAACCCATGCTAGTGTAGGGTTGTCTGACCCATGCTAGTGTAGGGTTGTCTGACCCATGCTAGTGTAGGGTTGTCTGACCCAGTGTAGGGTTGTCTGACCCATGCTAGTGTAGGGTTGTGTTACCCATGCTAGTGTAGGGTTGTCTGACCCAGTGTAGGGTTGTCTGACCCATGCTAGTGTAGGGTTGTCTGACCCATGCTAGTGTAGGGTTGTGTAACCCATGCTAGTGTAGGGTTGTCTGACCCATGCTAGTGTAGGGTTGTGTAACCCATGCTAGTGTAGGGTTGTGTGACCCATGCTAGTGTAGGGTTGTCTGACCCATGCTAGTGTAGGGTTGTGTAACCCATGCTAGTGTAGGGTTGTCTGACCCATGCTAGTGTAGGGTTGTCTGACCCATGCTAGTGTAGGGTTGTCTGACCCATGCTAGTGTAGGGTTGTCTGACCCATGCTAGTGTAGGGTTGTGTGACCCATGCTAGTGTAGGGTTGTGTAACCCATGCTAGTGTAGGGTTGTCTGACCCAGTGTAGGGTTGTCTGACCCATGCTAGTGTAGGGTTGTCTGACCCATGCTAGTGTAGGGTTGTGTAACCCATGCTAGTGTAGGGTTGTCTGACCCAGTGTAGGGTTGTCTGACCCAGTGTAGGGTTGTCTGACCCAGTGTAGGGTTGTGAGACCCATGCTAGTGTAGGGTTGTGACCCATGCTAGTGTAGGGTTGTCTGACCCAGTGTAGGGTTGTCTGACCCATGCTAGTGTAGGGTTGTCTGACCCATGCTAGTGTAGGGTTGTCTGACCCATGCTAGTGTAGGGTTGTGACCCATGCTAGTGTAGGGTTGTGTAACCCATGCTAGTGTAGGGTTGTCTGACCCATGCTAGTGTAGGGTTGTGTAACCCATGCTAGAGTAGGGTTGTCTGACCCATGCTAGTGTAGGGTTGTGTGACCCATGCTAGTGTAGGGTTGTCTGACCCATGCTAGTGTAGGGTTGTGTAACCCATGCTAGTGTAGGGTTGTCTGACCCATGCTAGTGTAGGGTTGTGTAACCCATGCTAGTGTAGGGTTGTCTGACCCAGTGTAGGGTTGTCTGACCCATGCTAGTGTAGGGTTGTGTGACCCATGCTAGTGTAGGGTTGTCTGACCCAGTGTAGGGTTGTCTGACCCATGCTAGTGTAGGGTTGTGTTACCCATGCTAGTGTAGGGTTGTCTGACCCAGTGTAGGGTTGTCTGACCCATGCTAGTGTAGGGTTGTCTGACCCATGCTAGTGTAGGGTTGTGTAACCCATGCTAGTGTAGGGTTGTCTGACCCAGTGTAGGGTTGTCTGACCCATGCTAGTGTAGGGTTGTGTGACCCATGCTAGTGTAGGGTTGTGTAACCCATGCTAGTGTAGGGTTGTCTGACCCAGTGTAGGGTTGTCTGACCCAGTGTAGGGTTGTCTGACCCATGCTAGTGTAGGGTTGTGTTACCCATGCTAGTGTAGGGTTGTCTGACCCAGTGTAGGGTTGTCTGACCCATGCTAGTGTAGGGTTGTCTGACCCAGTGTAGGGTTGTCTGACCCAGTGTAGGGTTGTCTGACCCATGCTAGTGTAGGGTTGTGTTACCCATGCTAGTGTAGGGTTGTCTGACCCATGCTAGTGTAGGGTTGTCTGACCCATGCTAGTGTAGGGTTGTCTGACCCATGCTAGTGTAGGGTTGTGTGACCCATGCTAGTGTAGGGTTGTGTGACCCATGCTAGTGTAGGGTTGTCTGACCCATGCTAGTGTAGGGTTGTCTGACCCATGCTAGTGTAGGGTTGTCTGACCCATGCTAGTGTAGGGTTGTGACCCATGCTAGTGTAGGGTTGTGTGACCCATGGTAGTGTAGGGTTGTCTGACCCATGCTAGTGTAGGGTTGTGTGACCCATGCTAGTGTAGGGTTGTCTGACCCATGCTAGTGTAGGGTTGGCTGACCCAGTGTAGGGTTGTCTGACCCATGCTAGTGTAGGGTTGTCTGACCCATGCTAGTGTAGGGTTGTCTGACCCAGTGTAGGGTTGTCTGACCCATGCTAGTGTAGGGTTGTCTGACCCAGTGTAGGGTTGTCTGACCCATGCTAGTGTAGGGTTGTCTGACCCATGCTAGTGTAGGGTTGTGTAACCCATGCTAGTGTAGGGTTGTCTGACCCATGCTAGTGTAGGGTTGTCTGACCCAGTGTAGGGTTGTCTGACCCATGCTAGTGTAGGGTTGTCTGACCCATGCTAGTGTAGGGTTGTGTAACCCATGCTAGTGTAGGGTTGTCTGACCCATGCTAGTGTAGGGTTGTCTGACCCAGTGTAGGGTTGTCTGACCCATGCTAGTGTAGGGTTGTGTAACCCATGCTAGTGTAGGGTTGTGTGACCCATGCTAGTGTAGGGTTGTCTGACCCATGCTAGTGTAGGGTTGTCTGACCCATGCTAGTGTAGGGTTGTGTAACCCATGCTAGTGTAGGGTTGTGTGACCCATGCTAGTGTAGGGTTGTCTGACCCATGCTAGTGTAGGGTTGTCTGACCCATGCTAGTGTAGGGTTGTCTGACCCATGCTAGTGTAGGGTTGTGTGACCCATGCTAGTGTAGGGTTGTGTGACCCATGCTAGTGTAGGGTTGTCTGACCCATGCTAGTGTAGGGTTGTCTGACCCAGTGTAGGGTTGTCTGACCCATGCTAGTGTAGGGTTGTCTGACCCATGTTAGTGTAGGGTTGTCTGACCCAGTGTAGGGTTGTCTGACCCATGCTAGTGTAGGGTTGTCTGACCCAGTGTAGGGTTGTCTGACCCATGCTAGTGTAGGGTTGTCTGACCCATGCTAGTGTAGGGTTGTGTAACCCATGCTAGTGTAGGGTTGTCTGACCCAGTGTAGGGTTGTCTGACCCATGCTAGTGTAGGGTTGTCTGACCCATGCTAGTGTAGGGTTGTGTAACCCATGCTAGTGTAGGGTTGTCTGACCCAGTGTAGGGTTGTCTGACCCATGCTAGTGTAGGTTTGTGTGACCCATGCTAGTGTAGGGTTGTGTAACCCATGCTAGTGTAGGGTTGTCTGACCCATGCTAGTGTAGGGTTGTGTGACCCATGCTAGTGTAGGGTTGTCTGACCCATGCTAGTGTAGGGTTGTCTGACCCATGCTAGTGTAGGGTTGTGTAACCCATGCTAGTGTAGGGTTGTCTGACCCAGTGTAGGGTTGTCTGACCCAGTGTAGGGTTGTCTGACCCAGTGTAGGGTTGTGAGACCCATGCTAGTGTAGGGTTGTGACCCATGCTAGTGTAGGGTTGTGTAACCCATGCTAGTGTAGGGTTGTTTGACCCATGCTAGTGTAGGGTTGTGTGACCCATGCTAGTGTAGGGTTGTCTGACCCATGCTAGTGTAGGGTTGTCTGACCCATGCTAGTGTAGGGTTGTCTGACCCATGCTAGTGTAGGGTTGTGTGACCCATGCTAGTGTAGGGTTGTCTGACCCATGCTAGTGTAGGGTTGTCTGACCCATGCTAGTGTAGGGTTGTGTGACCCATGCTAGTGTAGGGTTGTCTGACCCAGTGTAGGGTTGTCTGACCCATGCTAGTGTAGGGTTGTCTGACCCATGCTAGTGTAGGGTTGTCTGACCCATGCTAGTGTAGGGTTGTCTGACCCAGTGTAGGGTTGTCTGACCCATGCTAGTGTAGGGTTGTCTGACCCAGTGTAGGGTTGTCTGACCCATGCTAGTGTAGGGTTGTCTGACCCATGCTAGTGTAGGGTTGTGTAACCCATGCTAGTGTAGGGTTGTCTGACCCAGTGTAGGGTTGTCTGACCCATGCTAGTGTAGGGTTGTGTGACCCATGCTAGTGTAGGGTTGTCTGACCCAGTGTAGGGTTGTCTGACCCAGTGTAGGGTTGTCTGACCCAGTGTAGGGTTGTGAGACCCATGCTAGTGTAGGGTTGTCTGACCCATGCTAGTGTAGGGTTGTCTGACCCAGTGTAGGGTTGTCTGACCCATGCTAGTGTAGGGTTGTCTGACCCAGTGTAGGGTTGTCTGACCCATGCTAGTGTAGGGTTGTCTGACCCATGCTAGTGTAGGGTTGTGTAACCCATGCTAGTGTAGGGTTGTCTGACCCAGTGTAGGGTTGTCTGACCCATGCTAGTGTAGGGTTGTGTGACCCATGCTAGTGTAGGGTTGTCTGACCCATGCTAGTGTAGGGTTGTCTGACCCATGCTAGTGTAGGGTTGTCTGACCCATGCTAGTGTAGGGTTGTCTGACCCATGCTAGTGTAGGGTTGTGACCCATGCTAGTGTAGGGTTGTCTGACCCATGCTAGTGTAGGGTTGTCTGACCCATGCTAGTGTAGGGTTGTCTGACCCAGTGTAGGGTTGTCTGACCCATGCTAGTGTAGGGTTGTCTGACCCATGCTAGTGTAGGGTTGTGTGACCCATGGTAGTGTAGGGTTGTCTGACCCAGTGTAGGGTTGTGACCCATGCTAGTGTAGGGTTGTCTGACCCATGCTAGTGTAGGGTTGTCTGACCCATGCTAGTGTAGGGTTGTCTGACCCATGCTAGTGTAGGGTTGTCTGACCCATGCTAGTGTAGGGTTGTCTGACCCATGCTAGTGTAGGGTTGTGTAACCCACTGTTTTTGATAAAATTATTCGATCGTGTCCAGATTAGCACCGTCATCAATGCAAAAAAACGCCTTAAAAACAACTTCTTCTCCGCCTCTAGTGTTGGTTAAGGTTAGGAACATGGTTAGGGTTAGTGTCCGGTTAGGGTTAGTGTCCGGTTAGGGTTAGTGTCCGGTTAGGGTTAGTGTCCGGTTAGGGTTAAGGCTAAAAACTAAAAGTACAAGTTTAATATCCTCTTTATAATCTTTTAAGTAGGGGGGGGGGACTTTTACTTTTAACCTTCATTATGGATATGTGCATGGCGAAATGGGACATTAGCTACCGTCACACTTAAGGGGTCATCCATTTATGACGTTCACAAAAATGTAGAATTTTAGACCCCCCCCCCCCCGTCCACGTTCAACCAACCCCCTACCCTGAGTCCACAACTGTCGATTTTTTTCGAACTCCCTTCCCCACCCCGTGTGGACGACATAAATGCATGACCCCTAAAGGGACATTAGCTACAAGTGTGTCTGTCGCCCCCCACCCCCAGGCTGGCTACATCCAGACGGACAGAGAACTCTTGTTCCTTCAACCTGGCGCAAACAAGGGAACAGACGGCGCGCAGCCGCACGTACTTTACACGTGCGAGCCGGAGCAGTCAGCGCCAGAACCGGAAGTCTGGTCACGTCATTCAGGTGAGTAAAACTGCTGCAACCATTCATGTCATGTCACTCAGGTGAGTTTCAAATGTTTGGCAAAGAGGTCACCTACTGCTGCAACCCTTCATGTCATGTCATGTCATGTCATGTCATGTCATGTCATGTCAGCAGTGTCAAGCGATGTTCCATTACTTGAATGTGCGCATGCGCCAAATATGTCTTCAATGTCACACAAAACCACCAAACGCTGCTCCACCAAACTATGCTCCACCAAACTTTGCTCCACCAAACTATGCTCCACCAAACTATGCTCCACCAAACTTTGCTCCACCAAACTATGCTCCACCAAACTTTGCTCCACCAAACTTTGCTCCACCAAACTTTGCTCCACCAAACTTTGCTCCACCAAACTTTGCTCCACCAAACTATGCTCCACCAAACTATGCTCCACCAAACTTTGCTCCACCAAACTATGCTCCACCAAAATTTGCTCCACCAAACTATGCTCCACCAAACTATGCTCCACCAAACTTTGCTCCACCAAACTTTGCTCCACCAAACTTTGCTCCACCAAACTATGCTCCACCAAACTTTGCTCCACCAAACTATGCTCCACCAAACTTTGCTCCACCAAACTTTGCTCCACCAAACTTTGCTCCACCAAACTTTGCTCCACCAAACTTTGCTCCACCAAACTTTGCTCCACCAAACTTTGCTCCACCAAACTATGCTCCACCAAACTATGCTCCACCAAACTATGCTCCACCAAACTTTGCTCCACCAAACTTTGCTCCACCAAACTTTGCTCCACCAAACTTTGCTCCACCAAACGTTGCTCCCCCAAACAATCATAAAAACGCTACACCTAAATATCTGAGATGTGTGTTTGTCTGTTTGTCTGTGTACCCAGCCCAGCCCTCAGGGAGGAAGCGACGTGCCGCGGCAAAGACCAAGTACCTGGAGGTGTTGGTGGTGGTGGATCACATGGTCCAGGAGGCGTTGGGTAGTCGGGAGAAGACGGAGAGCTACGTCATGACGCTGATGAACATTGTAAGCAATCGTTACGTCACTCTCTACATCACAGTCTAAGCAATCATTAGCTACATCACAGTCTAAGCAATCATTAGCTACATCACAGTTTAAGCAATCATTAGCTACATCACAGTCTAAGCAATCATTAGCTACATCACAGTCTAAGCAATCATTAGCTACATCACAGTCTAAGCAATCATTAGCTACATCACAGTCTAAGCAATCATTAGCTACATCACAGTCTAAGCAATAATTAGCTACATCACAGTCTAAGCAATCATTAGCTACATCACAGTCTAAGCAATCATTAGCTACATCACAGTCTAAGCAATCATTAGCTACATCACAGTCTAAGCAATCATTAGCTACATCACAGTTTAAGCAATCATTAGCTACATCACAGTCTAAGCAATCATTAGCTACATCACAGTCTAAGCAATCATTAGCTACATCACAGTCTAAGCAATCATTAGCTACATCACAGTCTAAGCAATCATTAGCTACATCACAGTCTAAGCAATCATTAGCTACATCACAGTCTAAGCAATCATTAGCTACATCACAGTTTAAGCAATCATTAGCTACATCACAGTTTAAGCAATCATTAGCTACATCACAGTTTAAGCAATCATTAGCTACATCACAGTCTAAGCAATCATTAGCTACCTCACAGTCTAAGCAATCATTAGCTACCTCACAGTCTAAGCAATAATTAGCTACTTTTATGAATCAGCTACATCAAATGGATGGAGTGGCCTAGCAGTAGAGAGCTAGACTGCCAACCCGTAAGCCTCGAGTCCGAATCCGGGTTCAAGTCAGTATACAGTCCTTGAGTCCACCCAGCTCTGATAAGTACCTAACTGATGTTAGGAAAAGTAAAGGCGACTGGACATATTGCTGACCACACTATCTCTTCATATGCCGAGGTCACAGAAACAGATGAGCTCTACTTCACTTGCCCCATAGACCGTCACTTTAGCTACATCAAGCTATAGTAATCATTAGCTACCTTACACTCTAAGCAATATTTAGCTTTAAACAATGGTTAGCTGCAGATCTGGACTAAATGCGCATAAAAATAACTCTATGACGTTGAAGTTTAGCTCATCAAATCATGGCTCACCTGTCAATAAATCAAAGCCGGAATACAGGGGAATATTTCAAAGCGTCGATTTCGATGATATTTTTACAAGCTTTTATTTAACTTGCTGCCTCTGTCGTCATATATATATAACTGAGAGTATGTCGCCCCTCCACCTCCCCCTGTCTTACTACCCCACAGGCCAACACCGTGTACCAGCACCACAGTCTAGGGCAGGATATCCGTGTTGTTGTTGTCAAAATTCTCCTTCTTGACAAGAGCCAGGTAAGTCAACCTTGTCTTTCTTGACTGTACCCCCCCCCCCCCCCCCCCCCATCTGAATGACAACATATCCCATGTAGCTAATGTGTGAATGACGACATATCCCATGTAGCCAATGTCCGAATGACGACATATCCCATGTAGCCAATGTGTGAATGACGACATATCCCATGTAGCCAATGTGTGAATGACGACATATCCCATGTAGCCAATGTCCGAATGACGACATATCCCATGTAGCCAATGTGTGAATGACGACATATCCCATGTAGCCAATGTGTGAATGACGACATATCCCATGTAGCCAATGTCTGAGTGACGACATATCCCATGTTTGAAATATTCCAGCAAAGACAAGTCGTGCTGGCCAACGACCCTCTCTACTCGGTCAACCTGTTCTGTAGATGGTCGCAGCAACAAATCCCCGCTGGTCAACCCATGGACTATGACGTGTCAGTCCTGTTGACCAAGGAGTCTCTCGGCCCTTCAGGTAAGCCATCCATCATTCAGGTAAATCATCCATCATTCAGGTAAATCCTCCATCATTCAGGTAAATCATTCATCATTCAGGTAAATCATCCATCATTCAGGTAAATCATCCATCATTCAGGTAAATCATTCATCATTCAGGTAAATCATCCATCATTCAGGTAAATCATCCATCATTCAGGTAAATCATCCATCATTCAGGTAAATCATCCATCATTCAGGTAAATCATCCATCATTCAGGTAAATCATCCATCATTCAGGTAATTCAACGTGTCAAACCTGTTTAATAACCGGCTCGAGTTATCCCACTACGTCTAGAGTTATCCCACTACGACTAGAGTTATCCCACTACGTCTAGAGTTATCCCACTACGACTAGAGTTATCCCACTACGTCTAGAGTTATCCCACTACGACTAGAGTTATCCCACTACGTCTAGAGTTATCCTACAGCCGGTTCGAAGGTTTCCATATTTCAGCTTTCTGTAGATGTTTGTTTACTTTACAATCATGCACGTCTAGACGTGGCTAACTGATCTTCTAGAGGTTTGCCTCAAATCTCAGCTGAAATTTTTAAAAGAAGCTGAGATCTGGGATAAGAGAGTCTGAAGGAAAAAAACGAGGAGGGAAACGTTGACTGGCCTGTGGGTTGGAGTTCATTCCTCGTAGGTCAAGGTCATTACACCTCCTCCACCTACTGCCCGATAAACTTTTCAACTTTCCAGACGGCTCACAGTGACCCAGTTTACAATGTCAACATCCGTTATTCCCTGACCTTGCCACCCCACCCCCCCATTATTCCCTGACCTTGCCACCCCACCCTCCGTTATTCCCTGACCTTGCCACCCCACCCCCCCATTATTCCCTGACCTTGCCACCCCACCCTCCGTTATTCCCTGACCTTGCCACCCCACCCCCCCATTATTCCCTGACCTTGCCACCCCACCCTCCGTTATTCCCTGACCTTGCCACCCCACCCTCCGTTATTCCCTGACCTAACCTCCCCCACCCCCCCATTATTCCCTGACCTTGCCACCCCACCCTCCGTTATTCCCTGACCTTGCCACCCCACCCTCCGTTATTCCCTGACCTAACCTCCCCCACCCCCCCATTATTCCCTGACCTTGCCACCCCACCCTCCGTTATTCCCTGACCTTGCCACCTCACCCTCCGTTATTCCCTGACCTAACCTCCCCCACCCCCCCATTATTCCCTGACCTTGCCACCCCACCCTCCATTATTCCCTGACCTAACCTCCCCCACCCCCCATTACTCCCTGACCTAACCACCCCACCCTCCGTTTTTCCCTGACCTAACCTCCCCCACCCCCACCCCCCATTATTCCCTGACCTAATCACCCCCACCCACCATGTGAGAAATTCGGGCAGGTCAAGATGAACCGATGTTTGGTATTTAAGAAAATCGAGTCTTTAAAAATCATTTTATTCTTTTCTTTCATTTGCCCCCCTCCTTCCCTACCCTTTCACCAACACCCTCTGCCCACCCCCTGTTCTTCCCTTCCACCAACCACCAACCACCCCCTGACCCCCGCCCCCCACCCCCACAGGTTACGCCCCCATCACGGACATGTGCAACCCGGCGCGGAGCTGTGCTGTCATCAGGGACGAGGGCTTCACCGCGGCTTTTGTCATCGCTCACGAGATCGCTCACGTGTAAGACGTCACGACATCTTGGCTCAAGGGGGGCCCCGCACAATAGGGGTGGGGGCCCCGCACAATAGGGGTGGGGGCCCCGCACAATAGGGGTGGGGGCCCCGCACAATAGGGGTGGGGGCCCCGCACACTAGGGAGGTGGGGGCCCCGCACACTAGGGAGGTGGTGGTGTCCCACACACTAGGGAGGTGGTGGTGTCCCACACACTAGGGAGGTGGGGGTGTCCCACACACTAGGGAGGTGGTGGTGACCCCACACAAGGGAAGTGGGGGTGGCCCCTGTCAGATTTTCCCCTCCTTGTAAAATGATGATCCAGCCTATGTTTGTTTGATGTAACCTTGACCTTGGTGTGGCCTTAAATGTATGATGAGCCTGCCAGCGGACATTCAAAACAAACTTATGGTTGCTGGTAAAATAAAACTATTTACATTTATTTAGACACACCCATGTGTTTTTTATAATCCTGTCTTCACCACTAATTGACAACATATTTAGGCGAGAAGTCCCTAGGGTTCCCTGAAAGTCCCTAAGGTTCCCTGAATGTCCTAAGGTTCCCTGAATGTTCCTAGGGTTCCCTGAATGCCCTTAGGGTTCATTGAACGTCCATACGGTTCTCCGAATGTCCTTAAAGTTCCCCGAATGACCCTAAAGTTCCCTGAATGTCCATACGGTTCCCTGAATGTCCCTAAAGTTCCCCGAATGTCCCTAAGGTTCCCTGAATGTCCATACGGTTCCCTGAATGTCCATACGGTTCCCCCAATGTCCCTAAGGTTCCCTGAATGTCCCTAAGGTTCCCCGAATGTTGATAAGGTTCCCCGAATGTCCATACGGTTCCCTGAATGTCCATACGGTTCCCTGAATGTCCCTAAAGTTCCTCGAATGTCCATACGGTTCCCTGAATGTCCCTTAAGTTCCCTGAATGTCCCCAGAGTTCCTCGAATGTCCCTAAGGTTCCCTAAATGTCCCTTTGGTTTTCTGAATGTCCCTAAGGCTCCCCGAATGTCCCTAAGGTTCCCTGAATGTCCTAAGGTTCCCTGAATGTCCTTAAGGTTCACTGAATGTCCCTAAGGTTCCCTGAATGTCCTAAGGTTCCCTGGATGTCCTAAGGTTCCCTGAATGTCCTAAGGTTCCCCGAATGTCCTAAGGTTCCCCGAATGTCCCTAAGGTTCCCTGAATGTCCTAAGGTTCCCTGAATGTCCCTAAGTTTCCCTAAATGTCCTAAGGTTCCCTGAAGGTCCATACGATTCCCTGAATATCCTAAGGTTCCCTGGATGTCCTTAAGGTTCCCTGAATGTCCTAAGGTTCCCTGAATGTCCTAAGTTTCCCCGAATGTCCTAAGGTTCCCTGAATGTCCTAAGGTTCCCTGAATGTCCTAAGGTTCCCCGAATGTCCTAAGGTTCCCCGAATGTCCTAAGGTTCCCTGAATGTCCTAAGGTTCCCTGGATGTCCTTAAGGTTCCCTGAATGTCCTAAAGTTCCCTGAATGTCCTAAGGTTCCCTGAATGTCCTAAGGTTCCCTGAATGTCCTAAGGTTCCCTGAATGTCCTAAGGTTCCCTGAATGTCCTAGGGTTCCCTGAATGTCCTAAGGTTCCCTGAATGTCCTAAGGTTCCCTGAATGTCCTAGGGTTCCCTGAATGTCCTAAGGTTCCCTGAATGTCCTAAGGTTCCCTGAATGTCCTAAGGTTCCCTGAATGTCCCTAAGGTTCCCTGAATGTCCATACGGTTCCCTGAATATCCTAAGGTTCCCTGGATGTCCTTAAGGTTCCCTGGATGTCCCTAAGGTTCCCTGAATGTCCTAAGGTTCCCTGAATGTCCTAAGGTTCCCTGAATGTCCTAAGGTTCCCTGAATGTCCCAAGGTTCCCTGAATGTCATAAGGTTCCCCGAATGTCCTAAGGTTCCCCGAATGTCCTAAGGTTCCCCGAATGTCCTAAGGTTCCCCGAATGTTCTAAGGTTCCCTGAATGTCCTAAGGTTCCCTCGATGTCCTTAAGGTTCCCTGGATGTCCTAAAGTTCCCTGAATGTCCTAAGGTTCCCTGAATGTCCTAAGGTTCCCTGAATGTCCTAAGGTTCCCTGAATGTCCTAAGGTTCCCTGAATGTCCTAAGGTTCCCTGAATGTCCCTAAGGTTCCCTGAATGTCCTAGGGTTCCCTGAATGTCCTAAGGTTCCCTGAATGTCCTAAGGTTCCCTGAATGTCCTAAGGTTCCCTGAATGTCCTAAGGTTCCCTGGATGTCCTAAGGTTCCCTGAATGTCCTAAGGTTCCCTGAACTCCTAAGGTTCCCTGAATGTCCTAAGGTTCCCTGAATGTCACAGGTTTGGCGTGTTCCATGACGGCCACGGGAACGAATGTCACGGCAGGAAGTGGGAGACGGCCCTGATGGCCACACTACTGGAGACCAAGCTCAACAACTTCTGGTGGTCCGAGTGTAGCCGTGCCAGGATGAAGGAGGTCTTACAGTAAGTGGGCTGGGGGGGGGGAGTCTTACAGTAAGTGGGCTGGGGGGGGTGAAGTCTTACAGTAAGTGGGCTGGAGGGGGGCATCTTGCCCCCTGTAAAATGTTCATTTAGTGTGAGGAAAAGATTTCGACAAAAATCATATTGGCGTGGTTGTATGTTTCTTTTTATGTCGAAATATGTGTACACCATTGTACACCATTGTACACTACTGTACACCATTGTACACCATGAGAACAAGTTTCTCTCTGACTGTCCTAGGTACATTACCTGCCTTGACAACGAGCCCAGAAAGATGGCCAACAAACATTACCCGCTCAAGGCTCCAGCCACCATAGAGAAGGTGCTGGGCAAACCCTGGAGCCTCAACTTCCAGTGTAGCCAGGCCTTTGGTCCAGGTTTCCAGCTCTGTGCGGGGGTAAGTCTCCCCCCCCCCCAGTGTAGCCAGGCCTTTGGTCCAGGTTTCCAGCTCTGTGCGGGGGTAAGTCTCCCCCCCCCCAGTGTAGCCAGGCCTTTGGTCCAGGTTTCCAGCTCTGTGCGGGGGTAAGTCTCCCCCCCCCCCCAGTGTAGCCAGGCCTTTGGTCCAGGTTTCCAGCTCTGTGCGGGGGTAAGTCTCCCCCCCCCCCAGTGTAGCCAGGCCTTTGGTCCAGGTTTCCAGCTCTGTGCGGGGGTAAGTCTCCCCCCCCCCCCCAGTGTAGCCAGGCCTTTGGTCCAGGTTTCCAGCTCTGTGCGGGGGTAAGTCTCCCCCCCCCCAGTGTAGCCAGGCCTTTGGTCCAGGTTTCCAGCTCTGTGCGGGGGTAAGTCTCCCCCCCCCCCCAGTGTAGCCAGGCCTTTGGTCCAGGTTTCCAGCTCTGTGCGGGGGTAAGTCTCCCCCCCAGTGTAGCCAGGCCTTTGGTCCAGGTTTCCAGCTCTGTGCGGGGGTAAGTCTCCCCCCCCCCCCAGTGTAGCCAGGCCTTTGGTCCAGGTTTCCATCTCTGTGCGGGGGTAAGTCTCCCCCCCCCCCAGTGTAGCCAGGCCTTTGGTCCAGGTTTCCAGCTCTGTGCGGGGGTAAGTCTCCCCCCCAGTGTAGCCAGGCCTTTGGTCCAGGTTTCCAGCTCTGTGCGGGGGTAAGTCTCTCCCCCCCAGTGTAGCCAGGCCTTTGGTCCAGGTTTCCAGCTCTGTGCGGGGGTAAGTCTCCCCCCCCCCCCAGTGTAGCCAGGCCTTTGGTCCAGGTTTCCATCTCTGTGCGGGGGTAAGTCTCCCCCCCCCAGTGTAGCCAGGCCTTTGGTCCAGGTTTCCATCTCTGTGCGGGGGTAAGTCTCCCCCCCCCCCAGTGTAGCCAGGCCTTTGGTCCAGGTTTCCAGCTCTGTGCGGGGGTAAGTCTCCCCCCCCCCAGTGTAGCCAGGCCTTTGGTCCAGGTTTCCAGCTCTGTGCGGGGGTAAGTCTCCCCCCCCCCCCAGTGTAGCCAGGCATTTGGTCCAGGTTTCCATCTCTGTGCGGGGGTAAGTCTCCCCCCCCCCCCCCCAGTGTAGCCAGGCCTTTGGTTCAGGTTTCCAGCTCTGTGCGGGGGTAAGTCTCCCCCCCCCCAGTGTAGCCAGGTCTTTGGTTCCCCCCCCCCTACTTAACAGTTGAATAATTAGCAGTGTCAAACCCTACACTACCACGGGTCACACAACACTACCATGAGTCACACAACCCCACACTACCGTCAGATAACCCCACACTACCTCTGGCACTAATGGTTCCATGTGTTTCCTGCGTCAAGTTCAGCCAGGACCCGTGCAACATGCTGTGGTGCAGCCATCAGACCCAGCCCCTGTACTGCCGGACCAAGCGAGGGCCCCCCATAGCTGGATCTGTGTGTGGGACAGACAGGGTAAGTCTCAATTAGAGCCCCCCCCCCCTCCCTAGGGTTTCTCAGATGTTAGGATCTTGTGGTTAGATTTGGCCTATGAGATCAGTTGTGTTACCATCTAATCCCATACTAATGGGACGTGAGTAGTATATTAGGTCCCTTTTGGGTCGTATGGGTGAGCAGGATGCGGATGCGGATGCGGATGCGGAACAAAGGCTATATAGGAAAATACTCACCCAGCCTGGGACAACGACATATAGCAAAATACTCACCCACCTGGGTGAGGCGAAGGAGCCGCAGGTACAACGAGATATAGTAAAATACTCCCTGGGGGAGCAGGAGGGACATCGACATATAGTAAAATACTCACCCAACTGGGTGAGGGTGGGTGAGCCGCAGGTACAATGCCATATAGTAAAATACTCACCCACCTGGGTGAGCAGGTGGGTGAGGGTGGGTGAGCCGCAGGTACAATGAGATATAGTAAAATACTCACCCACCCTAGGGTGGGTGATGCGGATGCGGAGTAGGTCAGTAGGTCACCACCGGTGACCTTGTGACGTAATCACCGACCTTGTGACGCAATCAGTGACATTATGACGTCATCATTGACCTAGTTACGTAATTTTAATGAGTTTTTTTAATGAGTTTGAATTTAATTAATTTGATTTTAGTTAATTTTTGACCTAGTTACGTAATTTTAATGCGTTTTTAATGAGTTTTTAAATTTTTAATTAATTTTTATTATCGAGTTACGTAATTTAATTACTTTGATTGTATTTTTATTTTGTTTAATTTGTTTGTTTACTTGTTGTTTAATTTAATTACTTTGTTTATATTGTGTAATTTTTATTAACGAGTTACGTAATTTGATTATTTGTTTACTTTTTAATTATTTTTATTTTGTTTATTTTTAATTTTATTTTATTTTATAATTAGTTAAATTATTATTATTAACTAGTTACGTAATTTGATTTTAATTACTTTTGTTTATTTATTTATTTGATATATTTCTTTTCTTTGATGTATGGTATTTAAAATAAAAGACACTGTTTATTTGATTGTATGTATGTTTAATAGTAAACGGATAGGGGTGTTGGTGGATGAGAGGGGGAGTAATGATGGGGTTTGAGGGTAGGGGTGCGTTAGCGTGTACTTTGTGAATAACATCCATTAACCAGACATGTAACACCTGTTACGTATTGATCGCACCCACTGGGCCATCACAGCATGATGTCCCACCTAATTAAATTTTTGTTATGCTTCACCGAGTTTCCCCCGAGCGGTTTGATAGGTCATGATGATTAACGACGTACATTAAGTGCCTCTCCGCGTTAAGTGTGGGAACATCTGTTACCACTTTAATTGATTTTTTCCCCTGGTTGGGTCCCGTGCTTTCCACTAACAGTTATACAGTGTCATGGGTTTTTAAGTTTCTGGTACGCGTATGCTACACGTATACACACACACACACACAGAAACTCACTTTCTTACTTTTATATTAAAAGACAAGTATGTGTTATTGTTTTGTTACTTGTCCCTGAAAGTTATGTAACTCGGTATCCTATATAAGATTTTTGACTGGAAGCAAAATAATTCATTTAAAACGATGGATCCGAGATGGAAACATCCCTTTACCGCTCTGATCGCAGGGCCAACTGGGAGTGGTAAAACAGTATTTGTCAAAACATTTTTATCCCAGGTGTCAGAGATGATGGATCCTGCACCTGAGGAAATTTATTACTGTTACGGGGAGTGGCAGCCTTTGTTTGATACCATGAAGAACGTTCAGTTTGTGGAAGGTCTTCCTGACTTAGAAAGTGGATCACTGGGGGATGGAAAACGTCGACGTCTAGTCATCCTCGACGATTTGATGGCGGAAACAGATGAGCGAATTACAAAATTGTTTACGAAAGGGAGTCACCATCGTAATATTAGTGTCATGTATATTGTCCAAAACCTATTCGGGAAAAATAAAGAACAAAGAACCATCAGTCTCAATTCGCATTACATAGTGTTGTTCAAGAACCCTAGAGACGGTTCACAAATTACAAATTTGGCAAAACAAATGTATCCCGGTCGCGTTTCATATGTCCAGGAAAGTTTTAAGGACGCAACATCGGCCCCTCATGGTTATTTGTTGATCGACCTTCGACAGGAAACACCGGATAATCTGAGATTACGCAGTAGTATCTTTTCTTACGAGCAGCAAGTCGTTTACGTCCCGAAATAAAAGCAACCATGTCTGAGTCGGTAAAACGACAAGGTGAGATGTTAAGGTTTTTGGCTCGGGCCAAACCACCCGCCGTGAAAGCCGTTGTCGAAAATGCTACCCCACAACTCGTAAAAACGTTATGCGAGTGCTGTCACAATGTCTTAAAAGGCAACGTTCCCCTCACGCCCGGTCAGAAGAGACGTTTGCGTCGTCACAAAGTGAACTTGAGACAACTTACCAAAAAGTCATTGACCGTCAAAAGACGAAAGCAAATTTTGCAGACCGGTGGTTTCCTAGGTGCTTTACTCGGACCAGTTCTCGGTGTGCTTAAAGGTGTCTTGGGATTTTAAAGATGGCCAGGAAAATGCTTTTAATGGATCCTCGAATATTAGAGTCTATGCAACAAAAAGCATATGTACCACCCGATACACTCAACGATAGTCTACGCCTTTTGGATATGCAAATGGAACATATCTTAAATAGGGAAGATTTGTCACCACACGACAAAGTGAGACAATATCAAAAGACACTACAGCTCTACACGACGCGACTTAGCGATTATAGAAACAAGTCCCTAGGATTAGTCGATGTGAAACCATCCACCGTGAATACCCCAACGACCGAGGTTGAAAAACCACAAGAAAACATAACCGAACCTAAAAAAGAAACGATAGACATAACAGAATCTGAAACTAAAACGAAATCCGGCTCGCCTGACTCTGATATTCCCCCCTCGAAGAAAACGAAGACACACGTAGAAAAAACACCACCCTCGAAACGTACCAGAAGTAAGAAAACTAAAACAAGCACTACCAAATGGGACGCGTGGGAAAAAACCAAACACTAAAAAGACATTACTATGATCCTAGTAGACCAGGTGCCTACGGCGGCGTGTTTAAGCACCCTGAAATTGGAACTAAGAAAATTAAAGAATGGTTAAGTCATCAGGATACCTACACGTTACATAAACCTCTTCGGCGACGCTTTCAGAGGCGCGCCACCATCACCGGTGGGATAAATCACCAGTTTCAAGCGGATCTTATAGATATGCGCATGTTACGAAAGTACAATGGTGGTGCTTCTTACCTAGTGACCTGCTTCGATGTGTTTAGCAAATTCGCCTGGGCGATTCCGATAAAGAAAAAAACGGGTAAGGCTCTAGCGGAGGCCGTACGTAAAATATTTACTACTAGAAAACCTATAAATTTTCAAACAGACAAAGGTAGTGAATTTGTCAACAAGACATTTTTAAAATTTCTTAAAGATGAAGGCGTTCATTTCTTTACCACTGAGAATGAAGATATTAAGGCGGCTATAGTTGAGAGATTCAATCGAACATTAAAAGAAAAAATGTGGCGGTACTTTACAAAAACAAATCGTCTTCGTTACATTGATGTCGTAGACGACTTGATCACCAACTATAACCACTCGTACCATAGGAGTATTCGTATGGCCCCTGTGAATGTTAATTTGTCTAATCAAGAAAGGGTCTGGAATACTTTATACGAACATGGGGACATTACTTATCGAAAAGTATTTAACGAAGGTGATCGTGTACGGATCGGCCAAAGCCGAAACACGTTTAAAAAGGGTTATACCCCGTCGTGGACGGAAGAACTGTTTACGGTGAGCCGCGTGAACGCGACAACGCCTGTAACATACGTCTTGAAAGATGATTCAGGTGAAGAAGTGAAAGGTTCGTTTTACAAAGAGGAGCTTCAGAAAGTGGGGGACAAAAAAGTGTACCGCGTCGAACAAATTATACAAGAAAGAAAGGGTGTTGGTGGTAAAGAGTATTTAGTCAAGTGGTTCGGTTATAACCCTTCATTCAACAGTTGGATTTCAGCTAGAGACATTTCGAAATATAAAGACTAAGGATGGAGGAAACGGTAAAAAGCCTAAGTCTGGATGACCCCGTGTTGGAAGAAACGCTCAGACCGTTCGGTGGGATCGAGGTGAGACCCAGATCCACCACGTCTTCTATCGGTTCAACCATTTCGAGTTGGTTCGATAAACTAAAGACACGACCGGAAATCGTTTTCATCTCTCAAATGTTGGTTATATTTGTTGTCATTGCTTTTTCACTATTTAATCTGACGCGTGGAACGGTCGACGACAAAGAGGGAAAACTCTGGGTCGTGTTGTTATCCAGCTGTCTCGGATATATTTTACCTAACCCAACCATTGCAAGGACCAAAATTTTACAATGAGTTTTTATGTGACCCTGCCTAGCAATACATCACCAAATGTATTTCCAGACAATGAGGCTGGGCATTTTTTCGTTAAATTACCACAGACTATCGATGTGAGTTTACACTACGAAGTTGGTCTGGTCGAGATTCAAATGCCGAATGCGTTTTGTATGCTTAGAGAACATGAAATTTGGCTCCAGTATCATTCCATCACAGAAGGTGAAGACGTTAACCTTTTTCTATATGGATTACGTCAGTCCAAATATCAATACATAGACTTGCTTGTTAACGCTATAAAAAAACTAGTAAAAAGAGAGGTAGATGAACGAAAAGTGGAAGTTATAATTTCAAACTGTAACAAGGGATTTAAGAAAGTTGTCGTAAAAGTAATTGCGGCGGGAATAGAAAGTACCGTCCGTGAGAGGTTGACAAGCTATTTGCTTGTTCCTGGTAGAGTTACAGAGAAACATCTCCCTGAAGACGAAGTAAAAACGGTATTCGTCTATTGTGACCTCGTAAAAACGAGACCGGTTGGTGATGTCATGGTCCCTTTGCTTTGGACCGTACCGATCGTTGAGAAGAAACCAAGTTCCGTTTTTCGTATTTACGACAAACCCCACTACATCCCCCTGAACCGCTTTTCATTCGACACTGTGGAAATACTTTTATGCGATGACTTGGGACAAACGCTCTCATTCACAAGTGGAACGTCAGTGTTGACACTCCATTTTAGAACACGTAAACATTTCGATCTCGAATAACTCACACCATGGTGAAACACACACTTTTACATCGAAACCCTAAATTGTACGAGGATTTTTACTGTAACCAGTACGGTGATGGTTTACCCGTTTTTATCGGTGGACGAAATCAGAGAGGACACGGTATTGGTAGTTTCTTTAGTGGTCTAGGTCGAATGGTCCTCCCTTGGATAAAGACGGGAGGTAAGGCTTTACTCAGAGAAGGTGTTAGTACTGGGTTGCAAGTTGCAAACGACGCATTAGCGGGAAGAGACGTTGGAGAATCGTTCAAAGAACATGCCAAGGAAGCCGGACATCGTTTATTGCAAGGCGCCGTTGATCACCTGGGACAAAACCAATCAGGAAGCGGGTTGAGAAGAAAGCGTGGGCTCTCGAGACCACCGGGTGAACCCTTCGAACAACAGATAAAACTAACACGCAGACCAAGCTACAAACATTCGAAGACGTGTGTTAAGAAGAAGCATCCCAAGTATTCAGATATATTTGCTTAACCATGGCTCTTATTCACCCGAGTTCATGTGAGTGCTTACATTCTGGATTGGATTTATTTAGTACACCCCCGACACAAACTGCCGTCGAGGAGGGTCAATTTGTTGAAATACATCCCCTGGCGTCCTTGGCACAAGGTGCACCTATAGAATTTGCCATTTCTGGCAACAGTGAAGACTATCTCGATTTGTTTAATACTTATTTACACGTGCGCGCTAAAGTGACTTTAGCGAATGGTGATTCAATACCGCCTGACGTTGATGTCGCACCCGTCAATTATTTTTTGCACAGTTTATTTTCACAAGTGGATATTTCTCTAAACGATACGCTAATTACTGCTAGTGAGAACACCTATCCGTATCGCGCCTATCTGGAAGCTACGTTAAATCACGGGGAAGAGGCCAAGAATGGGTCTCTATCGGCCGCTCTTTATGCGAGGGACTTAGCCTGTTATTTCGAGGAATTCAAAGATGACAATAATGAAGGGTATAGGATTCGCCGTACCACCGCTGCTGAAAGTCATGAGATCGATATGATGGGACGTATACACTCTGACATTTTCGCTCAAGATCGGTATATGCTGAATGGTGTTGACATTAAAATTAAACTTACACCCGCAAAAGACAGTTTCACTCTCTTGACAGCAGAACCAAACAAGGGATATAAAGCGGTTATAACGTACGCAACATTGGTGGTTAGAAAAGCCAGACTTAACCCCGCCATTTCTATCGCACACGAAAAGGCTTTAACGACAACAAATGCAAAATACCCTTTTAAACGCGTTGTAATAAAAACCTTTGCTATACCGAAAGGTATGTTAAGTCACAACCAAGACAATTTGTATATGAGTCAAACACCGACCCGTTTAGTGATCGGTCTAGTCGCCTCTACCGCCTTTAATGGAAGTTACACGAAAAACCCCTTCAATTTTCAACATTTTCACTTGACGTATTTAAATGTAAGCGTTGATGGTCGCTCGTTATCGGGAAAACCACTGGTCATGGACTTTGATAAGAAACAAGCCATTAGAGCGTTTTTCAATAGTAACCTCGCTCTTGGTATGGTTGGAAAAGATGCTGGTAATGGGATAGATTATAAAAACTTTAAGAACGGGTATACCCTGTTTGCTTTTGATTTAAGCCCTAGTCTTTTGGATGGTGAACAATTTGAATTGGCTAAATCCGGACCTGTTTCTATTGAACTTAAATTTTCACAAGTTACAGCTGACCCGATTCAAGTTATTGTGTATGCTGAACTTGATTCGGTGTTAGAAATTTCGAAAACGAGGCAAGTGCTGACAGATTACACCGCCTAACTTGGCCTATAAAAGAAAATGAACACAAGAGAACTACAAAGTATACTGGCCGCGGACTTATTTGTGCAACGCACAACTCTCTTTGCCGTTTTAGCGTGCGATCAGTTACCCGCGCGTCTCGATAGAACGAAGCAAGCGGCATTCATTATCAATCTAGATTCGTCCTCGGAGGCAGGGAGTCATTGGGTTGGTCTATTTTTCAACGGACTATCGCAATTTACTTATTTCGATAGTTTTGGCTTACCACCTCGGGAGCCGGCCATTTTGTCTTTTATAAAAAATAATTCAAACAGACCACTCGTTTACAATTCAAGAGTGTTACAAGATATTCTAACCAACAGTTGTGGGCTATATGCAGCCTATTTTGTTTTGAAGAAAGCTCGAGGTGCAAATTTAAAAGTTATATTACAACCCTTTTCGGCGTCAGCGAGTCGTCAATATATTAACGATCGTATTATAACACGTTTAACACTTCAAATTATTGGAACTAATTATAAAAGATTATTTCAAGATGTCTAATGAAGATTGGATACTTGTGGCCAGGAGTAACAATAAAGTGACGGAAATACGAACGATGAATCACACCGGATTTAAATTGGCGATTGTTAGCCAATTCATGAACAAAAACACTTTAAATCTTAGAGAGCTTATAGATGGGACCGATTTTAATTTTCCTACAAATTCTGGTGTTAGTATGAGTCGCGTCTGCTTTGAGCGCCTGTTGAGTTTACAGGATGAAATTTTAAAAGCGTTTGATGAATTGGAAAAACGTTAATAAACAAATAAAATATAAGAAGACTTTTGTTCTAATTTAGTGTGTGTGTGTGTGTGTGTGTGTGTATACGTGTAGCATACGCGTACCAGAAACTTAAAAACCCATGACACTGTATAACTGTTAGTGGAAAGCACGGGACCCAACCAGGGGAAAAAATCAATTAAAGTGGTAACAGATGTTCCCACACTTAACGCGGAGAGGCACTTAATGTACGTCGTTAATCATCATGACCTATCAAACCGCTCGGGGGAAACTCGGTGAAGCATAACAAAAATTTAATTAGGTGGGACATCATGCTGTGATGGCCCAGTGGGTGCGATCAATACGTAACAGGTGTTACATGTCTGGTTAATGGATGTTATTCACAAAGTACACGCTAACGCACCCCTACCCTCAAACCCCATCATTACTCCCCCTCTCATCCACCAACACCCCTATCCGTTTACTATTAAACATACATACAATCAAATAAACAGTGTCTTTTATTTTAAATACCATACATCAAAGAAAAGAAATATATCAAATAAATAAATAAACAAAAGTAATTAAAATCAAATTACGTAACTAGTTAATAATAATAATTTAACTAATTATAAAATAAAATAAAATTAAAAATAAACAAAATAAAAATAATTAAAAAGTAAACAAATAATCAAATTACGTAACTCGTTAATAAAAATTACACAATATAAACAAAGTAATTAAATTAAACAACAAGTAAACAAACAAATTAAACAAAATAAAAATACAATCAAAGTAATTAAATTACGTAACTCGATAATAAAAATTAATTAAAAATTTAAAAACTCATTAAAAACGCATTAAAATTACGTAACTAGGTCAAAAATTAACTAAAATCAAATTAATTAAATTCAAACTCATTAAAAAAACTCATTAAAATTACGTAACTAGGTCAATGATGACGTCATAATGTCACTGATTGCGTCACAAGGTCGGTGATTACGTCACAAGGTCACCGGTGGTGACCTACTGACCTACTCCGCATCCGCATCACCCACCCTAGGGTGGGTGAGTATTTTACTATATCTCATTGTACCTGCGGCTCACCCACCCTCACCCACCTGCTCACCCAGGTGGGTGAGTATTTTACTATATGGCATTGTACCTGCGGCTCACCCACCCTCACCCAGTTGGGTGAGTATTTTACTATATGTCGATGTCCCTCCTGCTCCCCCAGGGAGTATTTTACTATATCTCGTTGTACCTGCGGCTCCTTCGCCTCACCCAGGTGGGTGAGTATTTTGCTATATGTCGTTGTCCCAGGCTGGGTGAGTATTTTCCTATATAGCCTTTGTTCCGCATCCGCATCCGCATCCTGCTCACCCATACGACCCAAAAGGGACCTAATATACTACTGACGTGTGATTAGAGGAGCCATTAGAATGAAAGTTACATTGAGCACTGGCTTGATAAAAAAAAAAGTTGGAGTAAATGAACCTTTGAAAGAAGATCGTGCATCGTGTTTAAAAGTTTGAGACGTCTCGATATACTTTCTGTCTCAGGAGTGTCGCAACGAATCTTGTCAATATGTCGGCAAGGAGAAACCGGTCAACGGCAACTGGGGGTCATGGGGGTCATGGACCGCCTGCAGCACCGCCTGTGGGGTGGGGATCAAACAGAGGACCCGGGTCTGTGACCGGCCTGCGTGAGTAGACCGTGTTCACTTTTTACGTCATTGTTTGTTTACTTCTTGCACGTCATTGTTTGTTTACTTCTTGCACGTCATTGTTTGTTTACTTCTTGCACGTCATTGTTTGTTTACTTCTTGCACGTCATTATTTGTTTACTTCTTGCACGTCATTGTTTGTTTACTTCTTGCACGTCATTGTTTGTTTACTTCTTGCACGTCATTGTTTGTTTACTTCTTGCTCGTCATTGTTTGTCTTATCCATTTTTTATGGTATCACCCTTTCACGCTGTGTCACCCTTCAGTGTGTCACCCTTCAGTGTGTCACCCTTCAGTGTGTCACCCTTAGTGTGTCACCCTTAGTGTGTCACCCTTCAGTGTGTCACCCTTCAGTGTGTCACCCCTCGTATTGTGTCACTCACTAGCATTTGGTACACCAACAGTTACACCCAGGCAGACGCTAACCAATCGTGTCTTGTGTTTCAGTCCAGCTTATGGCGGAAAATCTTGTGATGGCGAGGCAGAAATCATGGACACGTGCAAAGATACAGTAAGTTGGTGGGCGTGTGGGCTTTTGATACAGTAAGTTGGTGGGATGTGTAGGCTTTTGATACAGTAAGTTGGTGGGATGTGTGGGCTTTTGATACAGTAAGTTGGTGGGATGTGTGGGCTTTTGATACAGTAAGTTGGTGGGCGTGTGGGCTTTTTATACAGTAAGTTGGTTGGCTGCGTGGGCTTTCGACACAATACGTTGGTGGGATGTGTGGGCTTTTGATGCAGTAAGTTGGTGGGCTGTAAAGGCTTTTAATACAATAAGTTGGTGTATTCTGTGGGGGGGGGGGAGGTTAAGTTTTTAATTTAGTTAATGCCATCATAGTCGTACCACCACTAACGCCAACAGTTGTAGCACCAGCACCACCCACAACTGTACCAGCAGCATCTTATCATTTATTCCAGACGTGTAGGAATTATGTGGACACCAGGAAAGGAGAATGTGCCGTCTGGGACTTGCTACTGTTGCATGGCAACCACAGTTGGCAGCCGTTTGAAGGCCTAAATGGTAGGTCACGTGATCAGGCGTAATAAGGCAGGTTTCAACCTTGATTTAAGCTCCTGACTTATAGTTACACCCGCCATGATTTAAACTCCTGACTTGCCACAACCTGACTTACAGTTACACCCGCCATGACTTAAGCTCCTGACTTACAGTAACACCCGCCATGACTTAAGCTCCTGACTTACAGTAACACCCGCCATGACTTAAGCTCCTGACTTACAGTTACACCCGCCATGATTTAAGCTCCTGACTTACAGTTACACCCGCCATGACTTAATCTCCTGACTTACAGTTACACCCGCCATTACTTAAGCTCCTGACTTACAGTTACACCCGCCATGACTTAAGCTCCTGACTTACAGTTACACCCGCCATGACTTACGCTCCTGACTTACAGTTACACCCGCCATGACTTAAGCTCCTGACTTACAGTTACACCCGCCATGACTTAAGCTCCTGACTTACAGTTACACCCGCCATGACTTAAGCTCCTGACTTACAGTTACACCCACCATGACTTAAGCTCCTGACTTACAGTTACACCCGCCATGACTTAAGCTCCTGACTTACAGTTACACCCGCCATGACTTAAGCTCCTGACTTACAGTTACACCGCCATGACTTAAGCTCCTGACTTACAGTTACACCCGTCATGACTTAAGCTCCTGACTTACAGTTACACCCGCCATGACTTAAGCTCCTGACTTAGTTACACCCACCATGACTTAAGCTCCTGACTTAGTTACACCCACCATGACTTAAGCTCCTGACTTGCAGATTCCTCCCTGTGCCTACAGACGTGCAAGTCGTCCCACACGGGTGAAGTGCTCACCATCAACGTGCACGTCTCGGACGGCACGGCCTGCAGCTACACAGGCAACAACAGCAACATCTGCATGGACGGCGCATGCGTGGTAAGTGACCAACGTTTGTATGGACGGCGCATGCGTGGTAAGTGACCAACATCTGCATGGACGGCGCATGCGTGGTAAGTCACCAACGTTTGTATGGACGGCAATATCCTCATTCGTCACAGCCACAAGTCAACTCTGCTTCACCTACCCTAATGCCCGACAGGTCTAAAAATTACTTTCACAGTTTATAACAGCGGCAAGCTGATGAGTACCATGACCTCAACTACATTTAATTAATGAACACCATGACCTCAACTACATTTAATTAATGAATACCATGACCTCAACTACATTTAATTAATGAATACAATGACCTCAACTACATTTAATTAATGAATACCATGACCTCAACTACATTTAATTAATGAACACCATGACCTCAACTACATTTAATTAATGAGTACAATGACCTCAACTACATTTAATTAATGAATACCATGACCTCAACTACATTTAATTAATGAATACCATGACCTCAACTACATTTAATTAATGAATACCATGACCTCAACTACATTTAATTAATGAATACCATGACCTCAACTACATTTAATTAATGAATACCATGACCTCAACTACATTTAATTAATGAATACCATGACCTCAACTACATTTAATTAATGAATACCATGACCTCAACTACATTTAATTAATGAATACCATGACCTCAACTACATTTAATTAATGAATACCATGACCTCAACTACATTTAATTAATGAATACCATGACCTCAACTACATTTAATTATTGAATACCATGACATCAACTACATTTAATTAATGAACACCATGACCTCAACTACATTTAATTAATGAACACCATGACCTCAACTACATTTAATTAATGAACACCATGACCTCAACTACATTTAATTAATGAATACCATGACCTCAACTACATTTAATTAATGAATACCATGACCTCAACTACATTTAATTAATGAATACCATGACCTCAACTACATTTAATTATTGAATACCATAACCACAACCACATTTAATTAATGAATACCATGACCTCAACTACATTTAATTAATGAGTACCATGACCTCAACTACATTTAATTAATGAGTACCATGACCTCAACTACATTTAATTAATGAGTACCATGACCTCAACTACATTTAATTAATGAGTACCATGACCACAACCACACCTAATTAATGAGTACCATGACCTCAACTACATTTAATTAATGAGTACCATGACCTCAACTACATTTAATTAATGAGTACCATGACCTCAACTACATTTAATTAATGAATACCATGACCTCAACTACATTTAATTAATGAATACCATGACCTCAACTACATTTAATTAATGAATACCATGACCTCAACTACATTTAATTATTGAATACCATAACCACAACCACATTTAATTAATGAATACCATGACCTCAACTACATTTAATTAATGAGTACCATGACCTCAACTACATTTAATTAATGAGTACCATGACATCAACTACATTTAATTAATGAGTACCATGACCTCAACTACATTTAATTAATGAGTACCATGACCACAACCACACCTAATTAATGAGTACCATGACCTCAACTACATTTAATTAATGAGTACCATGACCTCAACTACATTTAATTAATGAGTACCATGACCTCAACTACATTTAATTAATGAGTACCATGACCACAACCACACCTAATTAATGAGTACCATGACCTCAACTACATTTAATTAATGAGTACCATGACCACAACCACACCTAATTAATGAGTACCATGACCTCAACTACATTTAATTAATGAGTACCATGACCACAACCACACCTAATTAATGAGTACCATGACCTCAACTACATTTAATTAATGAGTACCATGACCACAACCACACCTAATTAATGAGTACCATGACCTCAACTAGATTTAATTAATGAGTACCATGACCACAACCACACCTAATTAATGAGTACCATGACCTCAACTAGATTTAACTAATGAGTACCATGACCACAACCACACCTAATTAATGAGTACCATGACCTCAACCACACCTAATTAATGAGTACCATGACCTCAACCACACCTAATTAATGAGTACCATGACCTCAACCACACCTAATTAATGAGTACCTTGACCTCAACCACACCTAATTAATGAGTACCATGACCTCAACCACACCTAATTAATGAGTACCATGACCTCAACCACACCTAATTAATGAGTACCATGGCCTCAACCACACCTAATTAATGAGTACCATGACCTCAACCACACCTAATTAATGAGTACCATGACCTCAACCACACCTAATTAATGAGTACCATGACCTCAACCACACCTAATTAATGAGTACCATGACCTCAACCACACCTAATTAATGAGTACCATGACCTCAACTACATTTAATTAATGAATACCATAACCTCAACTACATTTAATTAATGAATACCATGACCTCAACCACATTTAATTAATGAGTACCATGACCTCAACCACATTTAATTAATGAGTACCATGACCTCAACCACATTTAATTAATGAATACCATGACCTCAACCACATTTAATTAATGAGTGCCATGACCTCAACCACATTTAATTAATGAATGCCATGACCTCAACCACATTTAATTAATGAATACCATGACCACAACCACATTTAATTAATGAATACCATAACCTCAACTACATTTAATTAATGAATACCATGACCTCAACCACATTTAATTAATGAGTACCATGACCTCAACCACATTTAATTAATGAGTACCATGACCTCAACCACATTTAATTAATGAATACCATGACCTCAACCACATTTAATTAATGAGTGCCATGACCTCAACCACATTTAATTAATGAATACCATGACCACAACCACATTTAATTAATGAGTACCATGACCTCAACTACATTTAATTAATGAATACCATGACCACAACCACATTTAATTAATGAATACCATGACCTCAACCACATTTAATTAATGAATACCATGACCACAACTACATTTAATTAATGAATACCATGACCACAACCACATTTAATTAATGAGTACCATGACCTCAACCACATTTAATTAATGAGTACCATGACCTCAACCACATTTAATTAATGAGTACCATGACCTCAACCACATTTAATTAATGAGTACCATGACCTCAACCACATTTAATAATGAACACCATGACCTCAACCACGCAGGCTGTGGGGTGTGACGGAAAACGCAACTCCACACTGAAAGAAGATATGTGCGGGATGTGTGGGGGGACAGGCTCAGAGTGTAAGACAGTGCGGGGAACCTTCAACAAGAAACCAAGTTCAGGTTAGTGAGGAGATGGCTCGGAGATGGCTGTTAACGGGGTCATATATATATATATATATATATATATATCGATGGTCTCGGTCGCAAACCGTCTAACTCCGAAAATGTAAATTTTTCAGGAGAGACAAAAAACTTATTATTTCCTTATCGATCGCTCTAATACACATTTTTTTTAATGATATCTCCGAAGAAACTCTCTACCGACTATACTGTAGCGTTTTAAAATGAGTTGTGTTAATATTTACAAAATTATAGCAGGTTTAAAAAGATAGACGGTTTGCTCGGTCTAAATTTCTCGGTGCAAACCGTCTATCTGTGCGCGCGCAGACTTAGCTGTTTTGAGCCGAGAATTTCGGTCTCAGCCGCGTTCGTTCGTTTTGTCCAATGAACGTGATTTACTTATGTTTATGTTTTTAAGTTATAATTAACACTTCACTAGACTTGTTAACTGTTAAAGGTTATGCTTTATTTATTACATCTTTCTATTCTCACAGTTTATTTTACTTAATCTGAAGAGTGCTGGGTTTGTAGAATGATAATAGTAAAAACAGAAACCGTATTGTCAGATATATTATGAATGAGACATAACACACTAATCACATTAAAACTGACTTAATGTTTACTTATTTTACAAAAATGTATCACAAAAAATGTGTTTGTTTTTAAAATGTATTCTTTAAATAAACGTCACATAAAGAAACATCAAAATGGCAACATATTTTTAAAATCAGGGAAATCATCATAAAAAGGTGTGTTTATGACTTGCTTTTAGGTGCTCAAATATGACAGCTTTTTCTTTTTTTTCTGCTCTTGTACAACTTGACAGGGGCTACAGATGAGATCATAATCTTACGACCCTAGCTTAGCAATTGCAAGCTATCTGCTAATTCACTTTGAAGTAGACAGTAGCATCAGGCTTGTACTGCAGTGCACGAATATTTGTCGCTTTGAATTCTTGATAGGTCTGACTGGTCTTTTGAGAGCGGCTGGTCTCTTGTATAGTTAAGCTGGTCTTTTTGAGAGAGGTTGGTGTCTAATGTCTGTTAGGTGAAGCTGGTCTTATGTATGTTACGACTGATCTGTTGAGAAAGGCTGGTGTCTTGTATGATAGGACTGGTGTGTTGAGAGAGGCTTGTCTATTGTAGGATAAGACTAATCTTTTGAGAGAGGCTGGTCTCTTGTATGGTAAGAATGGTCTGTTGAGAGAGGCTGGTCTGTTGAGAGTTACTGGTGTCGTAAAGGGTTAGACAAGTTTGTTGATATATTCTGGTGTCCTGTATGGTAAGATTGAACATTTCAGAGAGAGTTTGGTCTTTTGTATATTACGACTGGTCTGTTGTGAAAGGCTGATCTGTTGAGAGATGCTGGTGTCTTTAAGATTGGTCAGTTGACAGATGCTGGTGTCTTGTATGGTAAGACTGGTCTGTTGAGATAGACTGATATGTTGAGAGGCTGGTCTGTTGAGAGAGGCTGATCTGTTGAAAGAGGCTGGTTTGTCAAGAGAGGCTGGTCTGTGGAGAGAGGCTGATCTGTTGAGAGATGCTGGTCTGTTGAGAGAAGCAGGTATGTTGAGATAAGCTGATCTGTTATGTGGTAAGACTGGTGTGCTGAGAGAGTCTGGTCTGTTAAGAGAGGCTGATCTGTTAAGAGAGGCTGTTCTGTTGAGAGAGGCTGGTCGGTCGAGAGAGGCTGATCTGTTGAGAGAGGCTGGTCTGTTATGTGGTAAGACTGGTGTGTTGAGAGAGGCTGGTCTGTTGAGAGAGGCTGGTCTGTTGAGAGAGGCTGGTATGTTGAGAGAGGCTGGTCTGTTGAGAGAGGCTGATATGTTGAGAGGCTGGTCTGTTGAGAGAGGCTGGTCTGTTATGTGGTAAGACTGGTATGTTGAGAGAGGCTGGTCTGTTGAGAGAGGCTGGTCTGTTGAGAGAGGCTGGTATGTTGAGAGAGGCTGGTCTGTTATGAGGTAAGACTGGTGTGTTGAGAGAGGCTGGTCTGTTGAGAGAGGCTGGTATGTTGAGAGAGGCTGGTCTGTTGAGAGAGGCTGGTCTGTTGAGAGAGGCTGATATGTTTAGAGGCTGGTCTGTTGAGAGAGGCTGGTCTGTTATGTGGTAAGACTGGTATGTTGAGAGAGGCTGGTCTGTTGAGAGAGGCTGGTCTGTTGAGAGAGGCTGGTCTGTTGATAGAGGCTGGTCTGTTGAGAGAGGCTGATCTCTTAAGATAGGCTGGTCTGTTGAGAGAATCTGGTATGTTGAGAGAGGCTGGTCTGTCGAGTGAGGCTGGTATGTTGAGAGAGGCTGGTCTGTTAAGAGAGGCTGATTAGTTGAGAGAGGCTGGTCTATTGAGAGAGGCTGGTCTGTCGAGAGAGGCTGGTCTGCTATGTGGTAAGACTGGTCTGTTGTGAGAGGCTGGTATGCTGAGAGAGGCTGGTCTGTTGAGAGAGGCTGGTATGTTGAGAGAGGCTGGTGTGTTGAGATAGGTTTGTCTGTTCTAAAATTAATCATAAAAGCATTTACCAAAGACAACTAACCATGTCGTTGAACATGTACGCCAAACATTTTGTAACCTACCATATAAACATTTCTTAACACGTATCTAAACCCTCAATCTATAGCTAGTAGTGAATTAACAATAATTAAATTTATTGCACATTCTTGTGGAAATATAATTCGAATAATGTTGTTTTGATTTATATTTAGATTCTAGAACGAAGATCTAGATCTAGTTTCAAAGTATTGTGTTAGCCTAAAAAATTGTAAACAAATCAGTTTGGTTATTGACAATCTGGAAATAGGCTATATTAAACAAATACTATGTGTTTATAATTCTTTAAAATGATAAAATGTAATAGAATAGTTGACAATCATTAATCAAATATCCTTACCTATAAGTACTGTGACTGCTGTGCTGTAAAATTGTGTGATAATACGGCGTGCGACTGCGTTCCCGATCAAAAGTGTACTGACAAATATAGCGATGTTCGTTTTGCGCCGAGATTTTTCGCGCTAGAAATAATAGGCGGTTTGTTCAAATGATTATATCTCAATAACCATTCTACAGATTTCTCAAATATTTTCAGGCATTATGGGGAATCATATTGGCTTTTGATTTATGTAAAAAAAAGAAAATCGAATTTTTTTGAGTTAGACGGTTTGCGACCGAGACCATCGATATATATATATATATATATATATATATATATATATATATATATATATATATATATATATATATATATATATATATATATATATATATACAGAGAGAGATAGAGGTGCTTCAAACAATTTTGTGGGTTGGGTTGGGGGACATTTTAATGGATCTCTAAACATATGTGTGAGTTTTAAGGCCACTAGCGGTTAGGGCACTACTCGAGTAATACTTATGTGATGACAAACTAAGTTGGCTCCCTTGTGTAACTACGGCGTATACCCCGCCAACTGAGTTGTCTGTAGTGGTAAGGTCTACAAATAATTGGGCTAAGTTAAGTCTAACACTTATTTTCCAAGGTCACATAACCACCACTCATTGTGCTGAGTAACCATCACCCCATTTTATCACTGACCTTCACCTTGAGTTTTTCGCGTCGTGTGACCGCCATCAGATTTGGGGGACCGAATGACGTCATGTTGTGTGGCTAAAAATTTTAACAAAATCTGGTTTTGTTTAGCTTACGTCTTCACTTTTTTTTTATTACTTCACAAGAAAAGGATAATCTAAATGAATATTTATTGCTTGATAATAAGATCTATATCGTGGACTACTAATTACTCTAATTAATACTCTCTTAAACAGGACAAGAGTACATTCCAGTGATAACAATTCCAGAAAATTCTAGAAATATTGAAATTATTGAAACTAAATTAAGTGGCCATTTTTTAGGTAAGTCATTTAAAATACCCATGTCACATTCAAAGAACAATCACTCATTAATATCACCTGAACCTACCTAGACCCAATCACTCATTAATATCACCTGAACCTACCTAGGCCCAATCACTCATTAATATCACCTGAACCTACCTAGGCCCAATCACTCATTAATATCACCTGAACCTACCTAGGCCCAATCACTCATTAATATCACCTGAACCTACCTAGGCCCAATCACCCATTAATATCACCTGAACCTACCTAGGCCCAATCACTCATTAATATCACCTGAACCTACCTAGACCCAATCACTCATTAATATCACCTGAACCTACCTAGACCCAATCACTCATTAATATCACCTGAACCTACCTAGGCCCAATCACCCATTAATATCACCTGAACCTACCTAGGCCCAATCACTAATTAATATCACCTGAACCTACCTAGACCCAATTACTCATTAATATCACCTGAACCTACCTAGACCCAATTACTCATTAATATCACCTGAACCTACCTAGGCCCAATCACCCATTAATATCACCTGAACCTACCTAGGCCCAATCACTAATTAATATCACCTGAACCTACCTAGACCCAATTACTCATTAATATCACCTGAACCTACCTAGACCCAATTACTCATTAATATCACCTGAACCTACCTAGACCCAATTACTCATTAATATCACCTGAACCTACCTAGGCCCATCCTGTTGTGTCTAACACCAATCTTGTCCACAATCCCCTTGTTGTCTGCCTACTGTACAGTTGGCAAAACTATTTCAGCCAGCTACAACTTGAGCACTTAGTAACTGAGGTATCTGTTACAGTTGGCAAAACTATTTCAGCCAGCTACAAGACAACTAGAGCACTTAGTAACTGAGGTATCTGTTACAGTTGGCAAAACTATTTCAGCCAGCTACAAGACAACTAGAGCACTTAGTAACTGAGGTATCTGTTACAGTTGGCAAAACTATTTCAGCCAGCTACAACTTGAGCACTTAGTAACTGAGGTATCTGTTACAGTTGGCAAAACTATTTCAGCCAGCTACAAGACAACTAGAGCACTTAGTAACTGAGGTATCTGTTACAGTTGGCAAAACTATTTCAGCCAGCTACAACTTGAGCACTTAGTAACTGAGGTATCTGTTACAGTTGGCAAAACTATTTCAGCCAGCTACAAAACAACTAGAGCACATAGTAACTGAGGTATGTTTTCTCGCAGCCATAGAAGATCCCAAGTATGGCACATTACCGCTGAACGGGGAGAAGCGACAGTCTAAAAATACCCGACTTGTCATCAATGGCGCCATGTTCGAGTACAAGCGCTCAGGGCCCAACAGTATGGAGAGCATTACCTCCCCTGGCCCTCTCCGCAAGCCTCTTCAAGTGCTGGTAAACTTTTTATTTTTTATGCCCATGTCATTTCAAAGATATCTATTTAAGCCCATGTCATTTCATGAAAAATTTCATAGGTCATGCTACTCACTGACATGCATTATTAAATAAAGACCTTAGTTTAAACCAATTAAAAACAGCATTCCCAGCCCTAAAATCAGTTGCTGTACCAATTAAAAAACACTATTCACAGCCCTAAAATCAGTTTATGTACCCATTAAAAAACACTATTCCCAGCCCTAAAATCAGTTTCTGTACCCATTAAAAAACACTATTCCCTGTCCTAAAATCAGTTGCTGTACCAATTTAAAAACACTATTCCCAGTCCTAAAATCAGTTGCTGTACCAATTAAAAAACACTATTCCAGCCCTAAAATCAGTTGCTGTACCAATTAAAAAACACTATTCCAGCCCTAAAATCAGTTGCTGTACCAATTAAAAAACACTATTCACAGCCCTAAAATCAGTTTCTGTACCCATTAAAAACACTATTCCCAGCCCTAAAATCAGTTTCTGTACCCATTAAAAAACACTATTCCCTGTCCTAAAATCAGTTGCTGTACCAATTTAAAAACACTATTCCCAGCCCTAAAATCAGTTGCTGTACCAATTTAAAAACACTATTCCCTGTCCTAAAATTAGTTGCTGTACCAATTAAAAAACACTATTCCAGCCCTAAAATCAGTTGCTGTACCAATTAAAAAACACTATTCCCTGTCCTAAAATCAGTTGCTGTACCAATTTAAAAACACTATTCCCAGCCCTAAAATCAGTTGCTGTACCAATTTAAAAACACTATTCCCTGTCCTAAAATCAGTTGCTGTACCAATTAAAAAACACTATTCCAGCCCTAAAATCAGTTGCTGTACCAATTTAAAAACACTATTCCCTGTCCTAAAATCAGTTGCTGTACCAAATAAAAAACACTATTCCCAGCCCTAAAATCAGTTGCTGTACCTCACTCACTTCAGGTGTTCACAAATAACGAGCTGAGCAACACATCAATATCTTTTAGCTACGTTGTACACAAGAGTGATTTCACGTATGAGATGAACAACTACAAATGGAAGTTTGAAAACTGGTCTGCCTGTTCAGTTACCTGTGGCAAAGGTAGGTCAGCTTGTTCAGATACCCATAAAGAGGTAGGTTTAGCTCAAGAACTCAGATTTTTGCAATATTCATTCACTGTAAAACTAGGTAACATTATTTACTGTAAAACTTGGTATAATTGAAGGACATTATTTACTGTAAAACTTGGTATAATTGAGGGACATTATTTACTGTAAACCCCGTATCTTTGAGGAACAATGTGTGCAATGTCTGATGTCTGCAGGTGTACAGACCATCATACACGGCTGCTACCACAAGGACACAGACGTAAAAGTTGACCTTGAACTCTGTGCTCTGCTGCCTCCACCACGCAAGGACACGTCACCCTGCGCACTGGACCAGTGTGGCCTCGTCAGGTAGGTCATCTGTTGACATGTGCTCAGGTAGGTCATCTGTTGACATGTGCTCAGGTAGGTCATCTGTTGACATGTGCTCAGGTAGGTCATCTGTTGACATGTGCTCAGGTAGGTCATCTGTTGACATGTGCTCAGGTAGGTCATCTGTTGACTTGTGCTCAGGTAGGTCATCTGTTGACATGTGCTCAGGTAGGTCATCTGTTGACATGCACTCAGGTAGGTCATTTGTTGACATGTGCTCAGGTAGGTCATCTGTTGACTTGTGCTCAGGTAGGTCATCTGTTGACATGTGCTCAGGTAGGTCATCTGTTGACATGTGCTCAGGTAGGTCATCTGTTGACTTGTGCTCAGGTAGGTCATCTGTTGACATGTGCTCAGGTAGGTCATCTGTTGACATGCACTCAGGTAGGTCATCTGTTGACATGTGCTGAGGTAGGTCATCTGTTGACATGTGCTCAGGTAGGTCATCTGTTGACATGTGCTCAGGTAGGTCATCTCTTGACATGTGCTCAGGTAGGTCATCTGTTGACATGTGCTCAGGTAGGTCATCTGTTGACATGCGCTCAGGTAGGTCATCTGTTGACATGCACTCAGGTAGGTCATCTGTTGACATGTGCTCAGGTAGGTCATCTGTTGACATGTGTTCAGGTAGGTCATCTGTTGACATGTGCTCAGGTAGGTCATCTGTTGACATGTGCTCAGGTAGGTCATCTGTTGACATGTGCTCAGGTAGGTCATCTGTTGACATGTGGTCAAGTAGGACCTCTCTACCAGATACCAAATTGCCTAATTCTCTATCAGATACCTGTATGACCTACCTCTCTCCCAGAAACCAAATGACCTAACTCTCCTAGATACCTGTATGACCTACCTCTCTCCCAGATACCAAATGACCTACCTCTTTACCAGATACCAAATGACCTAACTCTCTACCAGATAACTGTATGACCTAACTCTATACCAGATACCTGTATGACCTACCTCTCTCCCAGATACCTGTATGACCTACCTCTCTCCCAGATACCAAATGACCTACCTCTTTACCAGATACCAAATGACCTAACTCTCTACCAGATAACTGTATGACCTAACTCTCTACCAGATACTGTATGACCTACCTCTCTCCCAGAACCTGTATGACCTACCTCTATCCCAGATAACAAATGACCTACCTCTTTACCAGATACCAAATGACCTAACTCTCTACCAGATAACTGTATGACCTAACTCTCTACCAGATACCTGTATGACCTACCTCTCTCCCAGATACCTGTATGACCTACCTCTCTCCCAGATACCAAATGACCTACCTCTTTACCAGATACCAAATGACCTAACTCTCTCCCAGATACCTGTATGCCCTAACTCTCTACCAGATACCTGTATGCCCTAACTCTCTACCAAATACCTGTATGACCTAAATCTCTACCAAATACCTGTATGACCTAATTCTCTATCAGATACCTGTATGACCTACCTCTCTACCAGATACCAAATGACCTACCTCTCTCCCAGATACCTGTATGACCTAACTCTCTCCCAGATTCCTGTATGCCCTAACTCTCTACCAGATACCTGTATGCCCTAACTCTCTACCAAATACCTGTATGACCTAACTCTCTCCCAGATACCTGTATGACCTACCTCTCTACCAGATACCTGTATGACCTACCTCTCTCCCAGATACCTGTATGACCTACCTCTCTCCCAGATACCTGTATGCCATGGACAAGGATTACAGCGAGTGTGTGGCCAGATGTGGAGAGAAGGGCTACCAGCAGCAGAAGTTCCACTGTGAGAGGCAGTTCCTCAACAACCAGACCTTTGAGAAGACCTCCCTCAGCTGGTGCCAGCATCTGGTCCCTCCCAACTACACGCAGGCCTGCATGGGCCAGCCTTGTAGCACCACTCACAGGTGGGTGCTAACTGGTGCTGGGGTGGGTGCTAACTGGTGCTGGGGTGGGTGCTAACTTATGCTGGGGTGGGTGCTAACTGGTGCTGGGTGGGTGCTAACTGGTGCTGGGGTGGGTGCTAACTTATGCTGGGGTGGGTGCTAACTGGTGCTGGGGGGTGCTAACTGGTGCTGGGGTGGGTGCTAACTGGTGCTGGGGTGGGTGCTAACTGGTGCTGGGGTGGGTGCTAACTGGTGCTGGGATGGGTGCTAACTGGTGCTGGGGTGGGTGCTAACTGGTGCTGGGTGGGTGCTAACTGGTGCTGGGGTGGGTGCTAACTGGTGCTGGGGTGGGTGCTAACTTATGCTGGGGTGGGTGCTAACTGGTGCTGGGTGGGTGCTAACTGGTGCTGGGGTGGGTGCTAACTGGTGCTGGGGTGGGTGCTAACTTATGCTGGGGTGGGTGCTAACTGGTGCTGGGGGGTGCTAACTGGTGCTGGGGTGGGTGCTAACTGGTGCTGGGGTGGGTGCTAACTGGTGCTGGGGTGGGTGCTAACTGGTGCTGGGATGGGTGCTAACTGGTGCTGGGGTGGGTGCTAACTGGTGCTGGGGGGTGCTAACTGGTGCTTGCAAGGTTAGGTGGAGGGATGAGGCGGGTTAGTTGTAACAGATGCGTCTATGGTGGGTCAGATTGTAGCTAACTGCAGAGTTTCTTCCAGGCATCTCGAAAAAATTTTACCGCCCCCCCCCCCCGAAGGAAATGAAATTTATGTAATTTATATAGAAAATATATACTTTTAACAGTGTCCGCCCCCCCCCCCCCCAAAGAAAGTCTACCGCCCCCCCCCCCCCGAAAATTTCAAGTGCCCCCCCCCCCGGAGAAAAAAGTCTGGAAGAAACACTGGCTAACTGGAGGGGGCGGGGGCAGGGTCAGGTAACCAATGCTTAAAGGGGTGGGTCAGGTTGGGGTGGGGCCATGGCAGAACACTTGTGTGAGACGTAATGTTTAGCTAGGGCACAAAACTTCTCGGAACTGTATCACTCCCCTCCACGAGGCTTAACAAATGTCCAGCAGTGGCTTGTGTATTGGTTTGGTTATTAACATGTTACATACAAGTAGTCTCGATGATGTGATAACAAATATTTCTGAGTAACTTTTTATATAAACATTGCTTCCCTTCTTATGTAAAAATTATTTGTGTGCTTTAAGTGTTAACTTTTACTGTCCTGTAAACATTCCGAGCAAGACAATGAAAATAGACAAGGTTCTAATTCTTACATTAGAAACTAGGTTATGTCCCCTCATATGCAATGTGTAATTCATTTTAAATTTGTTGTTCAGTTTCCAATGGCGAACCACAAGTGAGTGGTCCAAATGTTCATGTGGTGATGCAGGTGTCCAGACCATCAATGTCACCTGTGTCAGAGTGGAAACAGTGGCCAACAATACCCAGAAAACAGAATCCACGGTGCCAGACAACAACTGCAAGGATGTACCAGGGAAACCTAGCACAAGCAGGTCATGTCAAGGCCAGCCGTGTCAAGTGTAAGTGTGGACCTCACAGTTTAGACATGCTGGAGAGCAGGACTTAAGTAGGACTTAAGTAGGGCTTAAGTAGGACCTAAGTAGGACTTAAGTAGGACTTAAGTAGGACTTAAGTAGGGCTTAAGTAGGACCTAAGTAGGACTTAAGTAGGACTTAAGTAGGACCTAAGTAGGACTTAAGCAGGACTTTGCCTAATTTGACCAACCCTAACTCTCTTGTACAGGACAAAATACAGGTGGGCCAACACCTTCAAGTACTCTGAATGTAGCACCAGCTGTGGTCCAGGGGTCAAGAGCTCCACCATGGTGTGTGAGAGGGTGACCTTGTCAGGTGACCAGGAGAGTGTGGAGGAGGTAGACGAACAATTGTGTGCCAAAAGTCTCAAGCCCTATCCCAGGAAACAGTCGTGTGAGAATGAGGCCTGCGAGGAAAAGTGAGTGAACAAAACAGGCTATACCATTCACGGTACTTACAAGTACCACTCAAGTTAAACAAAACAGGCTATACCATTCACGGTACTTACAAGTACCACTCAAGTTAAACTTTAAATTTAAATGATTCATGATGATGTTTTATAGGAATAATACTATTGTCTCCCTATGACACAAGTTCTCTAGAATTCCCCCACCATTTACCTACTTGAAGCCACTGCCACCACTAATATTGAGCCCACGCCTGTGTTGCAGGATCAGATACCAGTGGCTCAACAGTTTTCAGAACTCCACATGCAGTCAGAGGTGTGGCTTGTTAGGACTGGAGCATGCTGAGCTGGTCTGCCACCAGCTGGCCAGCGGAAATCAAACTGTGGTGGCCCAAGTGGCAAGTTCATTCTGCAGCGACCTTCAGAAACCAGAGGTCGAGACACGAACATGTCAGCTCAAACCTTGCCCAGAAGAGTAAGTAACCAACAGTTCATGTCAATAGACAGCTTGTATGACATTAGACAGTTCATGTCATCAGACAGTTCATGTCAGTAGACAGTTCATGACACTGGCAAAACTAAGAGAACACTTCCTTAAGCTGCAAGGTGATGAAAAATATAAGAACACATCACTCGCTGAATTCAAGATAAAGCCATCAATTTCTGAACTGACAACAGCAGAAGTCACATTGATCTGCAGTAGATATTTATGTTTTATTTTTTTGTGTGAAAATCAGATTTGAATGGTTTTATTCTTTGATCACAGTGATGTTGATACACAGTTGATACACCAGTAAAATGTATACCTATGTTTTAAATTTTTTAAAATCATTATCTTTTTCCTATTAAGAATTGTTTGGTGTATGCGCATATGAAGTGGTGGGGTACATCAAAAAGTTCATGTCATTTGATATTTAATGACATGAGACTTTATAAGCGCCTAATGTCAATGTTTGCCAAGTATTTTAATTTTGTGCTTTAAAAATGTCAGTTGAAATCCAATAAAATTAATCTCCGTCAGATGTACACTAAATTTAAGTAAACTTGTCTATTCAGCCATTGCCCATAAAAATGTATCAGTAGATCTCTAAATGTATCAAGCCAATATTTTCCTTGTGCCAGCAGCTTTGTGTACAGATGGAGCTACAACTTCCAGAACGCCTCCTGCAATGCCAAGTGTGGGGAGTCTGGGGAGATTGAGCCGACGCTGACCTGCTTGAAGCTGTCCAAAGTCTTTGAGGATCTGATGGAGAATGTGGAGGAGACATTCTGCACCAACAGCACCAAGCCGTACAAGCGCAGACGTACATGTACGGCCGAACCTTGTCAAGATGAGTAAGTGGTCGTAGCACTGGGGTCATCTGTGCCAGTCACTGGGGTCATCTGTGCCATCACTGGGGTCATCTGTGCCAGTCACTGGGGTCATCTGTGTCAGTCACTGGGGTCATCTGTGCCAGTCACTGGGGTCATCTGTGCCAGTCACTGGGGTCATCTGTGCCAGTCACTGGGGTCATCTGTGCCAGTCATTAGTCACTGGGGTCATCTGTGTCAGTCACTGGGGTCATTTGTGCCAGTCATTAGTCACTGGGGTCATCTGTGTCAGTCACTGGGGTCATTTGTGCCAGTCACTGGGGTCATCTGTGCCAGTCACTGGGGTCATCTGTGCCAGTCATTAGTCACTGGGGTCATCTGTGTCAGTCACTGGGGTCATTTGTGCCAGTCACTGGGGTCATCTGTGTCAGTCACTGGGGTCATCTGTGCCAGTCATTAGTCACTGGGGTCATCTGTGTCAGTCACTGGGGTCATTTGTGCCAGTCACTGGGGTCATCTGTGCCAGTCACTGGGGTCATCTGTGCCAGTCATTAGTCACTGGGGTCATCTGTGTCAGTCACTGGGGTCATTTGTGCCAGTCACTGGGGTCATCTGTGCCAGTCATTAGTCACTGGGGTCATCTGTGTCAGTCACTGGGGTCATTTGTGCCAGTCACTGGGGTCATTTGTGCCAGTCACTGGGGTCATTTGTGCCAGTCACTGGGGTCATCTGTGCCAGTCACTGGGGTCATCTGTGTCAGTCACTGGGGTCATCTGTGCCAGTCACTGGGGTCATCTGTGTCAGTCACTGGGGTCATCTGTGCCAGTCACTGGGGTCATCTGTGCCAGTCACTGGGGTCATCTGTGTCAGTCACTGGGGTCATCTGTGCCAGTCACTGGGGTCATCTGTGCCAGTCACTGGGGTCATCTGTGCCAGTCACTGGGGTCATTTGTGCCAGTCACTGGGGTCATCTGTGCCAGTCACTGGGGTCATCTGTGTCAGTCATTAGTCACTGGGGTCATCTGTGCCAGTCATTAGTCACTGGGGTCATCTGTGCCAGTCACTGGGGTCATCTGTGTCAGTCATCAGTCACTGGGGTCATCTGTGCCAGTCACTGGGGTCATCTGTGTCAGTCACTGGGGTCATCTGTGTCAGTCACTGGGGTCATCTGTGCCAGTCACTGGGGTCATCTGTGCCAGTCACTGGGGTCATCTGTGTCAGTCACTGGGGTCATTTGTGCCAGTCACTGGGGTCATCTGTGTCAGTCATTAGTCACTGGGGTCATCTGTGCCAGTCATTAGTCACTGGGGTCATCTGTGCCAGTCACTGGGGTCATCTGTGTCAGTCACTGGGGTCATTTGTGCCAGTCACTGGGGTCATCTGTGCCAGTCACTGGGGTCATCTGTGTCAGTCATTAGTCACTGGGGTCATCTGTGCCAGTCATTAGTCACTGGGGTCATCTGTGCCAGTCATTAGTCACTGGGGTCATCTGTGCCAGTCACTGGGGTCATCTGTGCCAGTCACTGGGGTCATTTGTGCCAGTCACTGGGGTCATCTGTGCCAGTCACTGGGGTCATCTGTGACATCACTGGGGTCATCTGTGCCAGTCACTGGGGTCATCTGTGCCAGTCATTAGTCACTGGGGTCATCTGTGCCAGTCACTGGGGTCATCTGTGTCAGTCATTAGTCACTGGGGTCATCTGTGACATCACTGGGGTCATCTGTGCCAGTCACTGGGGTCATCTGTGACATCACTGGGGTCATTTGTGCCATCACTGGGGTCATCTGTGCCAGTCACTGGGGTCATCTGTGCCAGTCACTGGGGTCATCTGTGTCAGTCATTAGTCACTGGGGTCATCTGTGCCAGTCACTGGGGTCATCTGTGCCAGTCATTAGTCACTGGGGTCATCTGTGCCAGTCACTGGGGTCATCTGTGTCAGTCATTAGTCACTGGGGTCATCTGTGACATCACTGGGGTCATCTGTGCCAGTCACTGGGGTCATCTGTGTCAGTCACTGGGGTCATCTGTGCCAGTCACTGGGGTCATCTGTGCCAGTCACTGGGGTCATCTGTGTCAGTCATTAGTCACTGGGGTCATCTGTGCCAGTCACTGGGGTCATCTGTGCTAGTCACTGGGGTCATCTGTGTCAGTCACTGGGGTCATCTGTGTCAGTCACTGGGGTCATCTGTGCTAGTCACTGGGGTCATCTGTGCCAGTCACTGGGGTCATCTGTGCCAGTCACTGGGGTCATCTGTGCTAGTCACTGATGTCATCTGTGCCAGTCACTGGGGTCATCTGTGCCAGTCACTGGGGTCATCTGTCTCAGTCACTGGGGTCATCTGTGTCAGTCACTGGGGTCATCTGTGCCAGTCACTGGGGTCATTTGTGCCATCACTGGGGTCATCTGTGCCAGTCACTGGGGTCATCTGTGCCAGTCACTGGGGTCATCTGTGCCATCACTGGGGTCATCTGTGCCAGTCACTGGGGTCATCTGTGCCAGTCACTGGGGTCATCTGTGCCAGTCACTGGGGTCATCTGTGCCAGTCACTGGGGTCATCTGTGCCAGTCACTGGGGTCATCTGTGTCAGTCATCAGTCACTGGGGTCATCTGTGCCAGTCACTGGGGTCATCTGTGTCAGTCACTGGGGTCATCTGTGCCAGTCATTAGTCACTGGGGTCATCTGTGCCAGTCACTGGGGTCATCTGTGTCAGTCATTAGTCACTGGGGTCATCTGTGACATCACTGGGGTCATCTGTGCCAGTCACTGGGGTCATCTGTGTCAGTCACTGGGGTCATCTGTGCCAGTCACTGGGGTCATCTGTGCCAGTCACTGGGGTCATCTGTGCCAGTCACTGGGGTCATCTGTGTCAGTCATTAGTCACTGGGGTCATCTGTGACATCACTGGGGTCATCTGTGCCAGTCACTGGGGTCATCTGTGTCAGTCACTGGGGTCATCTGTGCCAGTCACTGGGGTCATCTGTGCCAGTCACTGGGGTCATCTGTGCCAGTCACTGGGGTCATTTGTGCCATCACTGGGGTCATCTGTGCCAGTCACTGGGGTCATCTGTGCCAGTCACTGGGGTCATCTGTGCCAGTCACTGGGGTCATCTGTGCCAGTCACTGGGGTCATCTGTGTCAGTCATCAGTCACTGGGGTCATCTGTGCCAGTCACTGGGGTCATCTGTGCCAGTCACTGGGGTCATCTGTGCCAGTCACTGGGGTCATCTGTGCCAGTCACTGGGGTCATCTGTGTCAGTCACTGGGGTCATCTGTGTCAGTCACTGGGGTCATCTGTGCCAGTCACTGGGGTCATTTGTGCCAGTCACTGGGGTCATCTGTGCCAGTCACTGGGGTCATCTGTGCCAGTCACTGGGGTCATCTGTGCCAGTCACTGGGGTCATCTGTGCCAGTCACTGGGGTCATCTGTGTCAGTCATCAGTCACTGGGGTCATCTGTGTCAGTCACTGGGGTCATCTGTGCCAGTCACTGGGGTCATCTGTGCCAGTCACTGGGGTCATCTGTGCCAGTCACTGGGGTCATCTGTGTCAGTCATCAGTCACTGGGGTCATCTGTGTCAGTCACTGGGGTCATCTGTGCCAGTCACTGGGGTCATCTGTGCCAGTCACTGGGGTCATCTGTGCCAGTCACTGGGGTCATCTGTGTCAGTCATCAGTCACTGGGGTCATCTGTGTCAGTCACTGGGGTCATCTGTGCCAGTCACTGGGGTCATCTGTGCCAGTCACTGGGGTCATCTGTGCCAGTCACTGGGGTCATCTGTGCCAGTCACTGGGGTCATCTGTGTCAGTCATCAGTCACTGGGGTCATCTGTGTCAGTCACTGGGGTCATCTGTGCCAGTCACTGGGGTCATCTGTGTCAGTCATCAGTCACTGGGGTCATTTGTGCCAGTCACTGGGGTCATCTGTGCCAGTCACTGGGGTCATCTGTGTCAGTCACTGGGGTCATCTGTGTCAGTCATCAGTCACTGGGGTCATCTGTGCCAGTCACTGGGGTCATCTGTGCCAGTCACTGGGGTCATCTGTGTCAGTCACTGGGGTCATCTGTGTCAGTCATCAGTCACTGGGGTCATCTGTGTCAGTCACTGGGGTCATCTGTGCCAGTCACTGGGGTCATCTGTGTCAGTCATCAGTCACTGGGGTCATCTGTGCCAGTCACTGGGGTCATTTGTGCCAGTCACTGGGGTCATCTGTGCCAGTCACTGGGGTCATCTGTGTCAGTCATTAGTCACTGGGGTCATCTGTGCCAGTCATTAGTCACTGGGGTCATCTGTGCCAGTCACTGGGGTCATCTGTGTCAGTCATCAGTCACTGGGGTCATCTGTGCCAGTCACTGGGGTCATCTGTGTCAGTCATCAGTCACTGGGGTCATCTGTGCCAGTCACTGGGGTCATCTGTGCCAGTCACTGGGGTCATCTGTGCCAGTCACTGGGGTCATCTGTGTCAGTCATCAGTCACTGGGGTCATCTGTGCCAGTCACTGGGGTCATCTGTGTCAGTCATCAGTCACTGGGGTCATCTGTGCCAGTCACTGGGGTCATTTGTGCCAGTCATTAGTCACTGGGGTCATCTGTGCCAGTCACTGGGGTCATCTGTGCCAGTCACTGGGGTCATCTGTGTCAGTCATTAGTCACTGGGGTCATCTGTGCCAGTCATTAGTCACTGGGGTCATCTGTGCCAGTCACTGGGGTCATCTGTGTCAGTCATCAGTCACTGGGGTCATCTGTGCCAGTCACTGGGGTCATCTGTGCCAGTCACTGGGGTCATCTGTGCCAGTCATTAGTCACTGGGGTCATCTGTGTCAGTCACTGGGGTCATCTGTGCCAGTCATTAGTCACTGGGGTCATCTGTGCCAGTCACTGGGGTCATCTGTGTCAGTCACTGGGGTCATCTGTGCCAGTCATTAGTCACTGGGGTCATCTGTGCCAGTCACTGGGGTCATCTGTGTCAGTCACTGGGGTCATCTGTGCCAGTCACTGGGGTCATCTGTGCCAGTCACTGGGGTCATCTGTGCCAGTCACTGGGGTCATCTGTGCCAGTCACTGGGGTCATCTGTGTCAGTCACTGGGGTCATCTGTGCCAGTCACTGGGGTCATCTGTGCCAGTCACTGGGGTCATCTGTGTCAGTCACTGGGGTCATCTGTGCTAGTCACTGGGGTCATCTGTGCCAGTCACTGGGGTCATCTGTGCCAGTCACTGGGGTCATCTGTGCCAGTCACTGGGGTCATCTGTGCCAGTCACTGGGGTCATCTGTGCCAGTCACTGGGGTCATCTGTGCCAGTCACTGGGGTCATCTGTGCCAGTCACTGGGGTCATCTGTGCCAGTCACTGGGGTCATCTGTGTCAGTCACTGGGGTCATCTGTGCCAGTCATTAGTCACTGGGGTCATCTGTGCCAGTCACTGGGGTCATCTGGCAGTACCTTGTGGTCAACAGTGTCAGTCATTAGTCACTGCCAGATGGTTACTTGTCTTAATGCCATGGGTCAGTGTCATGTGAGGGGTGAGGAGGTTAACAGAAGAAAAAAATTTGCTCTGTGTCTGAAACAAGTTGTTCAGGAAATCAGTAGACGCAAGACTTGATACATTTTTTTCCTGACATTTGTTTACTTTAATGTGGGTGTCCAGTCTTTTAAACAGCTTGAAGTTTTCGGGCCTCAATCCTCTCTTCCATGTTTCTAAAGTTTTTGGCCTCAATCCTCTCTGCCATGTTTCTAAAATTTTTGGCCTCAATCCTCTCTGCTGTGTTTCTAAATGTTTTTGGCCTCAATCCTCTCTGCTGTGTTTCTAAATGTTTTTGGCCTCAATCCTCTCTGCTGTGTTTCTAAATGTTTTTGGCCTCAATCCTCTCTGCTGTGTTCTAAAAGTTTTTGGCCTCAATCCTCTCTGTGTTTCAGGCCAAAGAAATACGTCTGGCACGCCTTGGAGGAGTGGACTGCGTGTCTTGCTGAGTGTGATCAGACAGGGACACAGACCAGACTTCACGTCTGCCAGGAAATTGACCCAGACGGCAGCTCACAAGAGGTCAAGGCTGAGCTGTGTGACGGCTTGCAGAAGGAGAACACAACCAGGACTTGTCATGGCGAGGAGTGTCCTCATTACTGGACAGTTGGGGAGTGGTCAGAGGTTAGCCGGCTCAACCAATCAGAGCTCATCAAATCTCTTGGGCTGTATTATAGGGATAGCACGTCTGTTATGTAGGGATAGTATGTCCTTAATGTAAGGATAGCACGTCTGTAATGTAGGGATAGTACATCTGTAATGTAGGGATAGTATGTCCTTAATGTAGGGATATCATGTCTGTAATGTAGGGATAGCACATCTGTAATGTAGGGATAGCACGTCTGTAATGTAGGGATAGCATGTCTGTAATGTAGGGATAGCATGTCTGTAACAGCTCGACCAATTGACACCACCACTACCAACAGCTTGACCAATTGACAACACCACTACCAACAGCTTGACCAATTGACAACACCACTACCAACAGCTTGACCAATTGACAACACCACTACCAACAACTTGACCATTAATTGACACCACCACTACCAACAGCTTGATCAATTGACACCACTACCAACAGCTTGACCAATTAATTTGCAACACCACTACCAACAACTTGACCATTAATTGACACCACCACTACCAACAACTTGACACCACCACTACCAACAACTTGACACCACCACTACCAACAACTTGACACCACCACTACCAACAACTTGACACCACCACTACCAACAACTTGACACCACCACTACCAACAACTTGACACCACCACTACCAACAACTTGACACCACCACTACCAACAACTTGAAACCACCACTACCAACAACTTGACACCACCACTACCAACAACTTGAAACCACCACTACCAACAACTTGACACCACCACTACCAACAACTTGAAACCACCACTACCAACAACTTGAAACCACCACTACCAACAACTTGACACCACCACTACCAACAACTTGACACCACCACTACCAACAGCTTGACCAACTTGACACCATCACTACCAACAACTTGACACCACCACTACCACCACTTTCTTCCAGTGTTCTGTGACCTGTGGTAAAGGTGCTCACTACAGAAAGATCTACTGCGCTGACCCAGATACAGATTATGATGATGTCAAATGCAAGGATGAGCCGCCAGCCATGTCCATAAGTTGCACTAGAGAAGACTGTCCACGTAAGTCAATCAGCTCTGTCTAACCAGCTGGCTAAAACAACTTTAGCAGGAACCTGACAGACATCCAAATTTTCTAGAAAATCACCAACATCCAAGGACAGGATCCAAACATCTTAGCAGTTGCACATCCCACAGAAAATGATCCCATAGAAAATAACTTCTATTTAACTGAAATTTCATGAAAGTGTCGTTTTTTTTAATAGAATAAATACTTGGCCTATTAAAATAAGCCCACATATAGCGGATATTTATAAATCACACTTTGTTAGCTGATTTAACCGCACTTACTTTTAAAGCCAAACACATTCTAAAATTTGGTCACAAATATCTGCCCATCCCCCTCTGATAATCCATTTTCTAATAATATCAACAGGATTACTTCTTTATATTTTTGTTTGTGAAAAAAAAAAGTTAAATGCCACCCACCCCATCTATTTCTGTGTGATCCAAAAAGGAAATTCATTTTTTCCTTTAGCAAATATCATTTGCATTTCTTTTAATATTTTTCTAATGAGATAGCTATTAAGAGCTATAAATAAACATGAATCACTGTCATTGAACTTACAATGACTATTAATTTTGTTTATACAGAAACTGGTGAGGAGAACTGTGTTGATTTATATTCCTTTTGTACTACATACAAGGGCCTCAAAGCTAGGTAAGAAAGGTCTATTTAACAAAGGACAAAACCAGGGTTATTCCTCTTGTCTAGTAAAAATTTCAACTTTGTGTTAACTAAACCTGATCAAATATGCATCTAACATAAAATATTTTACTTGGGTAAGTGTGCTTAAAAATTGGATGTATTAAATAGTAATGTGCACTAAATTGTTAGGCTACTGATTATGAACTTCTTTTACTGAAACTATTGTATTGTTTACTAACTTATTTTACTGCACTAACTTATTTTACTGAAACTATTCTTGACCAGGTGTAAGAGAGATAATTTTCTCAGAAAGTGCTGTCGCACCTGTATGGACGCTGAGAGGTCAGCGAAACGATCCATAAAGAAACGTGGACTTAAAGCCAAGAAAAACTCCAGGGCGCTGCCCTAACCTGGTTAACTGTGTCAGAAAATTAAATTTTTTAACCACAGTAATTAAATACTAGCATCTGTGAAATTCCCACCAAATATGTATGCGTAGCGAGGAGTTGTTTTATTGTGTATGTAATGCAGCTACAAGACTTTGTGGGTTTGATCAAAACTTGGCTTTTGTTCTCAAAAAAAATGAGGAGTAATTTGTGCTTCAAGTTACTTAACTCACAACCTTAGAATGTATTTGCAATCAGTATTATTGGGAATTGCTTCCCTTAGATATATTTTCTTCAGCAACCTACCTGAACCCATGGGAGGTGATTTGTTATCAAATAATTGTAAATATTGAATGAATTTGGTCAAGTAGAAAACAAAGAACAGTTTACATCTTCCTTTTTATTCCCCCAATCTTCCTGTAATAACAAACAGTAACCCCTGAATATTGTGTTTCTCATTTGGCTCAACATGTGTTCACTAGTAGGAAATCTTGCTATAGATATCTTATAAAACCTATTTAAACATTTTTTGTTATGTATATTCTATAAATCTATTCAAACATTAATAACTAATTATTTTTTAAATGTTAATTGATACTGTATCAAATTTGGTATACTATTTTGAAAAGTCTATCATAATGTTTATACATGAGGTGTATTCATATTATATGGAGATGAATAAAAAAAACTAATACAAAAATGTTGTGTTTTATATTATGTTATTACAGCCTCATCCAGCTTATTTTGTTCATAAATCCACTTGGCAACTTTGTCCAAGTTGTTGCCATTTTTAGCACTGGTTTCCAGAACTGTGATTTTCTGTGATGCGTGCCTGACCAGGTCACTGAGTCTGACAAGACTGTCCAGCTCAGAGTGGCTGATCCCCCCTGGAATATCCCTGCTCAAGACAAGGGGCAAAAATTACTGCATGAAATGGGTCTAGCATTTTTTACATCTAGAAATTGGCAACTTTAAGATCATTATATATTACAGCAAGAAACAAAAGACAACGCTAGCAAATATTACATCAAGAAAGACAGCTCTAACATATAACATCAAGCAATGGAGGACAAATTTAATAAAAACAAAACAACGAAGAGTCAAGAACAATTACAGTCAGAAATGCAAGACAAATCTAGGAATTATTATAGCTTGAAATGGGAGTCAACTTGCATATATTACATCTAAAAATTATATTACTAAAATAAATTGAGGTAAACTAGCTTATATTACAAAAAGAAATGGGGGATAATATGAGTTGTAATATAGGTCTGACTTACATCTTATTGAGAATCAAAAGAACTGGAATATTCTGTAAAGCGGGGTCTGCAAGAATGGTCATCAACTGGACACATGAAATGGCTACTTGAGTGTGTTTAGAAATGTCCAGCATGAACTGAAACAGAAATGTTTAATTACTTGTTGTTGAAGAGAATGTAAAATTTGTTCTAATTGACAAATGTTGTGAATAAAAAGTATTATCAACCAAATTAGAGATAACAAAGGAGATGACAGCATCAATACCGTTTTTTGTTGTAACTAAAGCTCCAATTGAACCAATGCAGTTGCAACTAAAAATAACCAATAACAAGATTGGGAAAGTTTTTAAAAAAAAATTCAGTTGGCAAATGTAATGAAACTAGAAACTTAAAAAAAATTGTCCTGTAGTAGAAGAATGACAGTGATACACAGCAGTGATACACACAATGATACACACAGTGATACACAGCAGTAACATTTTTTTGTTTCTTACCATAAGAGAGTGGGAGTCTTTGAAATAATTCTGCCATATTGGGCCCATAGCTCCGCCCACTTCCCTGACAGTTACCTCCACTTTTTTCATAGCATTGACTGTCATCAAATTGGTCCCAACCTGTCATACATATTGACAGTCATCAATTAGGTTCCAACATTACATATTGACTGTCTTCAAATAATTGGTCCCAACCTATCTTACACATTGACTGTCTTCAAATTGGTTCCGACCTATCTTACTTATAGACTAAGACTGTGAACAAAAAAAATAAATGCTTAGAAAAGTGAATTAATCTAAATGAAACCAATCCCTCTGATAAATATTGTTTGAATAAAATTTGATTGCAGATATACATACAGTGGGTATGGTTGCAGGAACATCATCCTTGAGTGTTGTAGGATCTAAAAACTTTTGTTAAGGTTTAAATTTGGAAATAATAAGATAATGCTTAAAATATTGTCTACTGTCTAAACTGACCTAAGCGCCTTGGTCTGAATAGCTTTCTTCTAATATGGTTGAGCTAAAAATTTAAAAATGCTAGCTAATCTTTAAACTACTAGGCTAAAGGCTAAGCTTAAGTTTAAAACTGACTGTAATAAATTAAATAACAAGACTAAATAAAAACTATCAACTAGCTAAGAGAATCTAGTCACTAGACTCTTATCTAACTCTTGTGTCTAGCACCTGACCTCTCTAGCCTAGCAGCTAGATCTAGATCTAGTAATAGTATAGAGTATAGACTCTATAGTTACAACTATAGTATAGGTAGAATCATTAGAATCTAACTCTAGTCTCTAGTGAAGCTAGAGTAGACTTCTTTCTGTCTCTAGATTAGGCTACTCTAGTGGCACTCTAATTAATTTCTAGTCTAGAATCTCTAGTCTAGAGAACGAGTAAAAGAAAAGTTAAAGAAGCACAAGAGTAAGAGTTACAGTTTGAGAGAACTAGAGTCTAGCAGATCTAGAGTCTAGAAATCTTGGCCTAGACAACAAAGACTGAAAAATCGGATGCTTGTATTTTGTAATCGTTTTAAAAGCAGTGTTTTCCCAACAGACGGGGCTCCAATTAGCAATATCATAGATAAAGCGTGTGTGCCTAACTTATCGAAACGTGTTGAAGTAGAAAATATTCTTCGTCTAGATCTAGACTTGACTAGGATAGTTGAAATTGAAACCTAGGAGATTTATATAATCCAATAATATTCATAAGAGTAGCGCCCCTTTGTAATAACAACTTCACCAAAAATAAAGATCCAAACAAGGGATGCTCACACACACTTCATTTTATATATAAATATATCCATTCCTTGATTTTGGCCTAAAAGTACATTATAAATTAGTATTTCGTATTATATACTAGCTTCAGAAAAATAAACCATATTAAAAAGTACATTAATTATTAAAAATGATTGTGATTAGAAAATAATGTAGTTATTTTTATTTTAAAAAATGATATCTCCCTTGCTATGAAAAGTTGTCGAACCTTTTACTTTCGTTTTATTTGTTAAACATGGCGATGGGGCTGGAGGATGGACTTCAGTCCTTGCATACACTTTTAGAACCTGGAAATGAACAAGCCAATCGAGAGCAGATTGAAATTATTGTAGAAGACATAAAGCAAAATTTTCAACAAGACATTGCATGCAATAAAATAGGTTATTGCAAATTCTATCCCGATTTTCTGGCCTTTACATTTTTGGGCCAAAACGCAAAAATTTCATGACGAGTTAGACTCTAACTGTTAGAGTAGATCTAGAATCTAGATCTCTAAGTCTAGAATAGTCTAGATTTAGTATCTAGTAGATCTAGTCTAGATCTAGATCTAATAATGACTCTAACGACGAGTAGTGGTCTAGATGTAGAATCTGGATCTAGCTGGACTAAATCTAGCTGTAGTAGTAGTAGTTAGTTACAGTAGTATCAAAGGCAATCAAAGGAAAATAAAATAGTTTATAAACCTACTGCTACTTAACTAAAAACTAAAATAAAAGTAAAATAGAGGAAAGTTGTAAAAGTGCTAGATCTAGACTAGTAGTAAGCAGCTAGTGAAGTGCTAGACTGCTGATAATATGTTTTTTGGGGTCTAAAAAATATTGTCAAATGAGTCAAATAGATCTAGACAATTAATGAATTATGTCATAAAATAATTGAATTTAATGTTGGCTATAGATACTTTGTAAATCAAGATTTTGAAAAAAAGGCAAAATAAAAATAGATCAACTATCTTAAAACAAGACCCTATTGTAACTATTAATAGGCCTACAAAAAATCAAATAGTTATTAAATCGGCCTAAAATTAATAAATAGATCTAGGGCTAAATGGACATTTTTTATTAAAGATTAGAGCTGAGGCTATTTCCAGTCGGCCTATATTTTATATTAATATAGATCTATTAGCATATGATATGATACTGATACTATTTTTCATATTAAACATTCAATAATTTGACATATGATATTGATCTATATTAATATATAATATATAATATAGGGCTATTGTTTATGTAGAACAGGGGTCTCCAAAATTTTCAGTACGAGGGCCGCATTAACTATCAAATTTCAGTTCGGGGGCCAGTTTCTTCCTGGCATGTCTTTAATTTTTCTGGTCAAAGTTCCTCAGTCATCACCAACAAACGCTTTTTTCCGTGGACAAAAATATCTACGCGGGCCAGATGAGAGGACCTTGCGGGCCGCATCTGGCCCGCGGGCCGTAGTTTGGAGACCCCTGATGTAGGCTATAATGGTATGACGTTAGCATTAGCTTTTAAAGAAAGTTATTACAATGATTATGTGTAGAAGAAACCTGCTGAATTAAAAGTTGAGGAGCTTGAAATGTGTCTTATCATGAATTAACGTAATGATATTTTTTTACCTTGATGTGTGGCTGTTTGTGGTTTGTTGACAGGATCAGGGTTGCCTATGATGAGACTCTCATGCTTGAAATTTTAAACCCTTAAATGTCCTGTTAAGGGTTTTATAAGTAACATTTCTAAAGAATGAACCATCTTAAAAAATAACATTAGTTTTTAAGTATTGTATGTAGGTCTACTTTCTTGCCTATCAACTACCATGAAACAGAAAGCCAATTTTTTTTTTGGAGTAGGCTAAAGGTTGAGCTAGAACTTACTACATGGTTAGGTAGAGTTTTTAGAAACACCAATTCCGTTGATCAAATTGATATATTTGTGCCTTTTCTCTACCTTAGAAATGATCTTGTTATTATAACCGAACTAGGGGTCAGTGTGGTCAGATAAGTAAAGCTCATGGTCGCTAAACTGAAAAATTCTGAGTTTGAACTTCCGGGGCAGGTGAGGCTCGATAGTTAGGGGCAGCTTTCCATCTAGGAGAGACAATTCCAAAATCAAACAACTTTGTTTGTTCTTGGTTGGAGAAAGGCAATTGAAACAAATCCAGAAATAAATCCAGAAATAAAATCAGGCTGAAATTAGAGTCAATGGCCTATATGACATTGGCATATAACATACTGACACATAATATTTAATTGTGGTGGAGGAAATCTCAACATTACAATTAAGAAGAAAGAAGATAATAATAGCACTGGCCAACTGGTTATGACTATAAAATACAAAATTAAACAGAGTAATCACCAGCAGAAAAGCACACATAACTTGTCATCATCACATTTTATAAGTTGCAACTTGATATTTGAATATTTTCTCTCCAGACTTTGTGTGCTCCCAAATTTTTGATAAAGAAAAAGGTTTGTTGAGTTTCCTGCAGAAAATAGCTGGAATCAAGGAGGTAAGACATAAGTTAGTCATAGGAAGACATAAGTTAGTCACAGGAAGACATAAGTTAGTCACAGGAAGACATAAGTTAGTCACAGGAAGACATAAGTTAGTCACAGGAAGACATAAGTTAGTCACAGGAATGTCATTAGCTCAAGTTAGCATTTAAAAATCACAAATTGTATCCAATTAAAACTCTTTAACACTTAAAAATTACAAATTGTATCCAATCCAAACTCTTTCCAGCTTAAAAATGGCAAGACCACAGCTCTCATTCTTCTCTCAGAACTTGTACAGAAGGTTGGCAAAAAAGTCTTGCCATATGCCATTGATATTAAGGTAGTTACAATGGATGACTATTTCACTTCATGAGAATGTTTACAGAATAAGTTTTAAATTTGTTAAATAAGATTGAAAGAGCTACATTTATCCTTCCAAAAATAAAGATATTGTTGTATGGTGTACTCAATTGTTTGTATGTAATGTACATATTTTAGAAAATAATATCTGCTTTCTCCTCATTTAAGTGTACTGTTATAAACCTATTCCTAGCTCTGATTGTTTGAATGATGTGTAAAGTTAAAGTTTTTAATAAACCAATTGAACAGGAAGCTTGCCTCTCAGTCTACAGCAGAGATGATTATGCCAAGGTCAAGGTGGCAGCAATACCTGTACTCATCAAGGTGATTATTTATGAGCTACCTGGAGGGTGGGCCGTGGTGTTGGGAGGTGGGCCGTGGTGTTGGGAGGTGGGCCGTGGTGCTGGAGGGTGGGCCGTGGTGTTGGGAGGTGGGCCGTGGTGTTGGGAGGTGGGCCGTGATGCTGGGGGCAGGACCCTCAGGTTCATTATCTGGGGTTAATTTAAAGCTAAAAAAAAAAATAACACTTAAAGATGCTTTAAAAATATCCATTGCTCATCACATGGCTTTTATAAACTTTCATGATAAAGAGTAGAAAAGTACTTGCTGTTTCTTATACTCATCATATGATGCTTTGTGTTTGATTTTTCTGACTAATGTTCATAATTCTATTTTTAGCTCCTGGAGCTAACAGCTGGGTCTACTGTGGGTCAGGAGCTGAACATTGACAAGTTGATTAAAAAGTTTATTTTGGAGCTGACCAAGACATCAAAGCTCAGTGCTACTGGTAGTTCCATTTCTGATCTCAGTGCTACTGGTAGTTCATTTCTGATCTCAGTGCTACTGGTAGTTCATTTCTTATCTCAGTGCTACTGGTAGTTCATTTGTTATCTCAACTTCTGCTTTAAAAGAATGACTACTGTGGGATTTTATTTTTATTGACCTCATTCAGTCTGGTCAATTTTTTAAATTATTTAAGTCTAATGTTTGGACAGTAGTCCCTACTTTTTATTTTAGTCTAATGTATTAAAAAGTAGTCACTACTTATATTATTTTGTCTAATGTTTGAACAGTGGACCCTACTTACATTATTTCAGTGTAATGTTGACAAACAATTTTCCAAATGATAACATTTCTTGACATTTTTTAATAACAAAATTGAAATGTTATTCTAACACAGCGAGTACATTTATTTACTATTTCCCAAATGTGTAGTAAAAGCCAGCATCTACCATCTTCTGGGTGTAACAGCTGAGGTATTCCCTGAAGTCATGGCTCCCTATTCTGAGAGGTTGGCTAACCTCTATGTTGGTGCTTTAAAAGCTGAGGTAATACATACATACTTCTTGGTAATGCATACATACTTCTTGGTAATACATACATACTTCTTGGTAATACATACATACTTCTTGTCTAAGTTATGCTGTACTTTATTTTATTTATTCAAACAAGCATGATAAAACTTTTAATGAGCATTAGCAAACTGTATTTACAACTTCTAAAATAATAGATGTCATCCATCTAAAAATCTAGTTGACTTTCAAATGTCATTTATTTCTGCTAGATGTCATCCATCTAAAAATCTAGTTGCCTTTCAAATGTCCTTTATTTCTGCTAGATGTCATCCATCTAAAAATCTAGTTGACTTTCAAATGGCATTTATTTTTTTGCTAGATGTCATCCATCTAAAAATCTAGTTGACTTTCAAATGACATTTATTTTTCTGCTAGATGTCATCCATCTAAAAATCTAGTTGACTTTCAAATGTCATTTATTATTTTGCTAGATGTCATCCATCTAAAAATCTAGTTGACTTTCAGATGTCATTTATTTCTGCTAGATGTCATCCAAGTCGAAGAAGGCAGAGATGTCAGTGGTTGCAGGCTGTCTGGATGGCCTCACAGCTTTCATGTTCCATTTTAATCAGTCGGCTGAAGAAGGTAGGACACGCATGGTAGCTGTAACAGTCCATTTTAATCAGTCGGCTGAAGAAGGTAGGACTCGCATGGTAGCTGTAACAGTCCATTTTAATCAGTCGGCTGAAGAAGGTAGGACACGCATGGTAGCTGTAACAGTCCATTTTAATCAATCGGCTGAAGAAGGTAGGACACGCATGGTAGCTGTAACAGCTGCACTGTTCTGGTTTCATATATAGGTGGATGTATGGATGGATATATGTACATATAATCCATACGATTTGTAAAGAATGTAACATTGTTTTTTGACATTTAAATTGTTGAAACAAAGCATTGAGAGCAACATTTCACACAGATGTAGCATGAGACATTTTGAGGGTCCGGGGGGGGGGGGGGGGGGGGGGGAAGTTATAAGCCCCTAACGCTACACCGCCTATTTCACTGATTTTCCATTCATCGCAAGTTTTAAGTAACATACCTTTGGTACTTTCATGTGTTGTCCTTGAACAGAGTCCAAAAACTCATATGAGATCTTTAAATACTTGAGGATGGCGTTAGATCCGAACATTGACTACACAAGATACGATGTCCCTAAAGCTGGTCTTAAGCTCATCACTCGCCACGCGGGGCAGTTTAGACAGTTCCTGCTGGATGAGTACAAGCCCATGTACGAAAAGTTGCAGAAGTGGAGTCACCACCCAAACAGGGAAGTCCTACATCTAGGGCTGGGGGCTCTAGAGGCCTTTACCAAAGAGGTTATTTATATTTCTCGTCTCACTTTCTTCAGTTTTCTAACCTTGAGAATTTTTTCTAGTCTTTAGATTTTTTCTAGTCTTTAGATTTTTTCTAGTCTTAGAATTTTTGTAATGTTGTAGGCAATTAAGTTTTTTGTTTTATATTGATTATCCCCAAAAATGTAAATGATTTGTAAATTTTAATTTTCTGATCAGATATCTGAAGGGCTAGTTGACCGAGCCAGAGAGGGCCATAAAGAAGGGGCCATTTTCAAGGTAAAGACACATATTTGGCACATAAAGACACATACAGACACATAAAGACACATAAAAACACATATTTGGCACAACAAAATACGTTTAGTGATTAAGTGCTGTGTTCATTCACCAATCAAGAAACATTTTGTGTACTAGGGGTGACTGTAAAAAACAAATATAAATTTTTTTAACTTATGCTACATCAAGCTGCACCACACACACACATTGTGTACTCAGATAGGAGAGGCTCTTCTCAATAAATCATCTCTCATATCTCTTGAACAATTCTTGCAAACATCTCATCTGAAATATCTCTTGACAATTCTAGCAAACATCACATCTCAAATATCTGTTGAACAATTCTAGCCAACATCTCATCCCAAATATCTGTTGACAATTCTAGCCAACAAAATCAAGATCAAATTTTCCCTTTTTATCCTGCCCTAGTTTTTCTTGCTGGAGTACCGCCACATCATGAATGACAAGTTCTCTTCCTCTAAAGAAATTGCCATGGCGATCAAAGGTTACGGACTTTTGGCTGCTGTAAGTGCTCACTGTCTGCACGTCTGCACATTTTATAGTAGCACCAGGTGCTTGTAAAATGGTTGTACATATTGTTTTTTGACATTTTAGGGTAAAATCTATTTTTTTCCTTTATTTTCTAGCCATGTCGGACATATTTATCTGAATCAGACACCCAGTTTATGTTTGGTGAAATGGTCAGCAAGTGTGAACATCAATTCTTTGGGTGAGGTTAAAATAAAAGCGCGGGTTGCATCTTAAATTCTAGAAGAGGTATTCAAAACATGATATAGCGACCCAACCTTTTCTTTTCAGTAATTTAAATGGTATTCATTATTATATTTTTAAATAAAATCATTTATTTTATGTTATTAAAACTTTTTAATTCATTTTTTTGTTAATTAACTATTGTGTTGTTTTTGTAGAAGTTTTCTGTTTAATGAATTGAAATTTTGTATTTGATGATCATAGCTTGTCGTCTTGCTTGTGTTGCAGCAACGTTGAGGATCTAGAGGAGAAGTTGATATCACTGCCCAGCTACTTGACAGCTCTAGCCAGCATCATCCTCCAAGTCGACTCAGTAAGTGCAATATCAGCTAGGTCTTCATAGTTTCATTTGATCTGTGACAATCCACATTTGGTTGTTGTTGTATTTGATGTTGTATTTGATGTTGTATTTGATGTTGTATTTGATGTTGTATTTGATGTTGTATTTGATGTTGTATTTGATGTTGTATTTGATGTTGTATTTGATGTTGTATTTGATGTTGTATTTGATGTTGTATTTGATGTTGTATTTGATGTTGTATTTGATGTTGTATTTGATGTTGTATTTGATGTTGTATTTGATGTTGTATTTGATGTTGTATTTGATGTTGTATTTGATGTTGTATTTGATGTTGTATTTGATGTTGTATTTGATGTTGTATTTGATGTTGTATTTGATGTTGTATTTGATGTTGTATTTGATGTGATGCTTGTTCTACTGGCCAGGTCTCCCTGCCATATGGGCTGGTCTTGGAGAGGCTGATGGTCCTGTTGATAGAGCACATGCCCAATGTTTACAGACCCCAGCAGGTCCATTTCTACAAGGCCCTTCTGCTGCTTCTCTTGACTCTGTTGAGGAAAGGCAGCATTTTCCACCAGACATTGGCTTCTGTAGGTAGGTCGACACAGGACATTGTCCTATGTAGGTAGCTGAACACAGGACATTGTCCTATGTAGGTAGGTGAACACAGGACATTGTCCTATGTAGGTAGGTGAACACAGGACATTGTCCTATGTAGGTAGGTGAACACAGGACATTGTCCTATGTAGGTAGGTGAACACAGGACACTGTCCTATGTAGGTAGGTCGACACAGGACATTGTCCTATGTAGGTAGGTGAACACAGGACATTGTCCTATGTAGGTAGGTGAACACAGGGAAGTCCTTCTAATTTGGCCAAAGAAACATTAAAAAATTAGAGTATTATTTGCATTTGTTCCTAGAGAGGTTATCCAATTTCTTACTTTTTGAGCCAGTAGTTATCCAATGTCTTAAAGTAACCCCTTAAAGTTATCCAATGTCTTAATGTTATCCAATGTCTTAAAGTTATCTAATGTCTTAAAATTACCCAATGTCTTTAAGTTATCCAACGTCTTAAAGTTATCCAATGTCTTAAAGTTATCCAGTGTCTTAAAGTTGTCCACTAAAGTTATCCAATGTCTTAAAGTTGTCCACTAAAGTTATCCACTAAAATTGTCCACTAAAGTTATCCATTGTCTTAAAGTTGTCCACTAAAGTTATCCACTAAAGTTATCCACTAAAGTTATACACTAAAGTTATTCACTAAAGTTATCCAATGTCTTAAAGTTGTCCACTAAAGTTATCCACTAAAATTGTCCACTAAAGTTATCCATTGTCTTAAAGTTGTCCACTAAAGTTATCCACTAAAATTGTCCACTAAAGTTATCCATTGTCTTAAAGTTGTCCACTAAAGTTATCCACTAAAGTTATCCACTAAAGTTATCCAGTGTCTTAAAGTTGTCCACTAAAGTTATCCAATGTCTTAAAGTTGTCCACTAAAGTTATCCACTAAAATTGTCCACTAAAGTTATCCATTGTCTTAAAGTTGTCCACTAAAGTTATCCACTAAAGTTATCCACTAAAGTTATACACTAAAGTTATTCACTAAAGTTATCCAATGTCTTAAAGTTGTCCACTAAAGTTATCCACTAAAATTGTCCACTAAAGTTATCCATTGTCTTAAAGTTG